GTGATCCACCCGCCCCCGCCTCCCAAAGTGCTGGCGTTACAGGCGTGAGGCACTGCACCCGGCCATAATGCAAAAAGCTCACCCCGTGGCAGTGTGAAGCTCACTTATGTCAGGAAATGGAGAACGCAGGCAGGTGAGGACAGAGACTTGCCTTAAGTCTCTATGGCCGTGAAGGCAGCAGAAAGCAGGCAGCTCTGAGTATGCTGGGAAGGAGCATTTCTGGGAACACAGGATGACCACTGGATGTAGCGGAAAAGATACAATTTTGAGGCATTACATGAGAAAGGTCAGTCACACTGAAGAGGGAAGTTAAATAATAGTAGTCTGCAGTTGCTGCATAGTAAAGTTTACTGTGTGTGTTCAGTATAAAACCTAGCCCCCAGCTCTGCTTGAAATGAACCAGCTCCCTGTAAACCACCTTATCTGTTCTCCCCACATTCTCAGCAAGTTCCCAGGCATCTCAAGACTGCTGTTTTTCTTACAGACCAGCTGCAAGGTCACAGGGCAAGATAACACCCAAAGAATGCTCAGTGTGTTTCTCACACTGCTGTTTTCAAATGTAACGTACGTCACAGGACATTTTACAAATTAACTAACTGTTCTTGGTTCTGGCTTCTGTGAACCTGTTAGCTGTTGTGTCATCTTGGATGTATAGAAAGTCAAGCCCTGTCTTTGTCAGCCACTCGGCCTTGGGACAAGAATCCGCTGAGCCGGTGGCCACCTTAATTAAATCCTCCTGTTTCTCCCATTGGTGTCTCCAGTCTCCTGAATATTCTGCAACAACACAACTATAAAGCTTAAAGAAACACTTAAGAGTCCGGGCGCGGTGGCTCATGCCTGTAATCCCAGCACTTTGGGAGGCCGAGGCGGGTGGATCATGAGGTCAAGAGATCGAGACCATGCTGGTCAACATGGTGAAACCCCGTCTCTACTAAAAATACAAAAAATTAGCTGGGCATGGTGGTGCGCGCCTGTAATCCCAGCTACTCAGAAGACTGAGGCAGGAGAATTGCTTGAACCCAGGAGGCGGAGGTTGCAGTGAGCTGAGATCGCGCCATTGCACTCCAGCCTGGGTAACAAGCGAAACTCCATCGCAGAAAACAAAACAAAACAAAACAAAAAAATAAACACTTAGGAGTAGAGCAACGTCTCCCAACACTTTTGTTATGTTAGATACAAAGCTGGTTAAACCCCGCAGGCCTGTGAAATGAAAGCCTGTGGGACGATCTTTCCTACCAGACCCTTTCACACATTTTTGGACTTCTTTTTTTCTTAATCGCTTCCTCCCTCATGAAATTTTACTACCACGGGCTGGGCGCGGTGGCTCACGCCTGTAATTCTAGCACCTTAGGAGGCCGAGGAGGGCAGATCACAAGGTCAGGAGATCAAGACCATCCCAGCTAACACAGTGAAACCTGTCTCTACTAAAAATACAAAAAATTAGCCAGGTGTGGTGGCACGCACCTGTAGTCCCAGCTACTCGGGAGGCTGAGGCAGGAGAACTGCTTGAACCTGGGAGGCGGAGATTGCAGTGAGTCAAAATCTCACCACTGCACTGCAGGCTGGGCAACACAGCAAGGCTCTGCCTCCAAAAAAAAAAAAAAAAAAAGAAAAGAAAAGAAATTGTACGTCCACATATATATGCATGTTTATGGGCTGGGCTCTTCTGGAGGGCCAAGCCATTGTAATATACAGAATTTTTTCACCTCTCATGAACCAGTTTTTACCAATTGGATTCATGGGTTAGAAGCAGTCATGTGTGTGTCCCCAGCTCCTGAGAAATGCATCCTTAGGAGGTATCCTTGCACAAACATCAGAGTGTCCTTGCACACACCTGAGTGGCACAGCCCACAGCACCCCTAGGCTACATGGGGTAGGCTGCTCTCCTAGGCTACAAACCTGTACAGCAGGCTACTGTACAGCCCACTGTAATACAATGGTTCTGTGTACCTAATCATAGAAAAGGTACAGTGAAAGGTCAGGCACGGTGGCTTATGCCTGCAATCCCCTGAGGCGGGCGGATCATTTGAGGTCAGGAGTTCAAGACCAGTTTGGCCAACATGGTGAAACCCTGTCTCTACTAAAAATACAAAAATATAAGCCGGGCGTGGTGGTGCATGCCTATAGTCCCAGCTGCTCAGGAGGCTGAGGCATGAGAATCAGTTGAACCCAGGAGGTGGAGGTTGCAGTGAGCTGAGATTATGCCACTACACTCCAGCCTGGGTGACGTGAGACCCCGTCTCAAAAAACAAAAAGGTGGGGGAGGGATACAGTCGCATGTTTTCTTTCTTTTGGAGACAACATCTCGCTCTGTTGCCCAGGCTAGAATGCAATGCAGTAATCATGGAGCAATCATGTAGCTCATTGTAGCCTTGAACTTCTGAGCGCAAGTGATCCTCCCACCTCGCTCTTCCTTGTAGCTGGGACCGCAGGTGCAAGCCACCATGCCCAGCTAACTTAGCTCTTGTGGAGACAGGGTCTCCGTGTTATCCAGGCCGGTGGCAAAGTTCTGGCCTCAGGGATCGTCCTGCCTGGGCCTCCTGAAGTGCTCAGATTACGGGAGTGAACCCCTACCCCAGCCTACAAAAGGTCCTGATTGAGGGATAGTTTCAATATTGAAAAGAGAAAAGGAATCATCTATGGCAGGGGTGGGCAAACTGTGGCCCGTTCTTAGTTTTATCGGAGAGTAGAGCCACAGGCATTAATTTAAGCACTGTCCTGGCTGTGTATGCGCTGTAGCAGCGGAGTTAGTTTCAAGAGGAACAGTACGAGTGATAAAGTCTAAAAGATTCACTATAGTTTTTTACAGAAAGATTGCCAAGCCTTGATCTCCAGGTTAGGATTTCGTAAAAGCCTACAGGAATTTGGAGGCAACACCAGTTAAGAAAGAATTGGTTTACTGCGTGAGAGAAGAAAGGAGAGAACAGACGAAGGTGAATTTGTGATTTGTTGTTCAAAAGACGATAAATGTTGACTATGGACCCCTTGCAAGATCATCCAAAATCCCTGTTGGGCCGGGCGCGGTGGCTCATGCCTGTAATCCCAGCGCTCTGGGAGGCCGAGGCGGGTGGATCACAAGGTCAGGAGATGGAGACCAAGCTGGCCAACATGGTGAAACTCCATCTCTACTGAAAATACAAATAAAGATAAAAAATTAGCCGGGTGTGGTGGTGTGCGCCTGTAGTCCCAGCTACTTGGGAGGCTGACACAGGAGAATCACTTGAACCTGGGAGGCGGAGGTTGCAGTGAGCCAAGATCGTGCCACTGCACTTCAGCCTGGCGACGGAGTGAGACTCCATCTCAAAAAAATAAATAAATAAAAATAACTTGCGAAGCCCTCACTAGGCAGGTACATTAGAAATTCCTGTGGTTTGGAGGAAAAATGCGGATAATGGTTTAACAACGTTCTCAGATTTGAGTTTTCCAAATTTGCTGCCCTCATTTTTACTATTATCATAGGTTTAGGTCAGGGTTTCTCAGCCTTAGTGCTGCTGTTTTGAGCCAAATAATTCTTTGTGTGTCAGGCTGCAGTATCCATCACTGGACACACGGCGGAGTCACCGGCCGCTGCTCACTGGACACACGGCGGAGTCACCGGCCGCTGCTCACTGGACACACGGCGGAGTCACCGGCCGCTGCTCACTGGATCCAGTGGCATCACTGGACTCTAGTCACTGGACACACGGCGGAGTCACCGGCCGCTGCTCACTGGATCCAGTGGCACCACTCTTTTGGTGTGGCAAGTGGGAATCTGCTCCAGACATCACCAAATGTTCCCTGGGAGCTGGGGCAAGTCTGAGAATCATGAGCTTAGCTTATCACACAGTCTATCTTATTATAAACAACTGTATTTTTGTCTTGTGGGTTTGATCCAAAGTATTTATTTTAGTTTATAATTTGCAGTAGCTACCGATGGAGACATTATTGGATTTTGAATATCAATCATACACTTACTGCTAAATCATCTCACATTTCCCTATATAAGTTATCATTATTTTTTCTTAAAAAAATTAGGTAAGGGTTTGAGAGCCACTGCTCTGAATTCTTAATCTCAGTGTTTCAAATAATCATCTCATTTCCAGCTCACTTAGCTAACCTGACCCTCGCTTTTCCTAACAGAGCCACTTTCTCCCACGTCTTCCTGTGAGTCACACAAAGACGCACTGTGACTTTTCAGGGTACACCTTTACCAAAACACACTTGTTCACATACTTTAAAAGTGCATTTTGAGAATTCGAAACGGTCAAAACTCTTTCCCCAAAAGGCAGATGAGTAAGATCCCACATCTTCCTTGACTCCCATGAGTCAACGGAGGCAATTTTCTGACATTTGTCTTTTGTTGCTACCTACTCTGCCCGTCCTGAAGAACCTGGCTTCCAGGAGCTTGCCCACAGAGGGAAGTGCAAATGATATGCTGCTTGTATTTTCTGTGGGAACTGACTTGCCTTTTTAGAAAATTGGAGTGAAACTGGACAGAGCTTGCTTTTTGATCCCATGACAGTCTGGATTTAATTTCTTCTCCTTGTCACCAGATACGTAACAGCTATGTAACTTTAGAAAAAGCAAATTGGAGCCAAGTGCGGTGGCTCACGCCTGTAATCCCAGCACTTTGGGAGGCAGAGGTGGGAGGATCGCCTGAGGTTAGGAGTTCAAGACCAGCCTGGCCAACATGGTGAAACCCCGTCTCTATTAAAAATACAACATTAGCCAGATGCGACGGCACACGCTTGTAATCCCAGCTACTCAGGAGGCTGAGGCAGGAGAATTGCCTGAACCCAGGAGGCGGAGGTTGCGGTGAGCTGAGATCGCGCCATTGCATTCCAGCCTGGGTAACATGAGTGAAACTCCATCTCAAAAAAAGAAAAAAAAGAGAGAGAATTAAATCTCAATAAAGCTAAAATATATATATATATATATATATATATATATATATATATATATATATATATAAAATAGAAAAGAAAATTTAAAAATATTCACATTTTCCACAACTTCTCCTTCCTATCCACAAAAAATAGCCAGATAAGTTATTCTTCTCTGTTTGGAGTAAGAAAATCTTAGGAAGTCCTGATCCTGTAAGGGGACGTCTGTTCCGCACGGCGGCGCACTCACTTCTCCAGCCCTGCTCATTCTTGACTATACCCGATTCTGCAAATGTTTCAGAAATACATCGAGTTCCTATCCTAGTTCTACGCACCCCAGACTATGTTTCCTCTGATGCACATGCGTTTGTTCTAATTAGTGTAGGGTCTCCCCTTTATAATCATTCACGATTCAGGTCGAGTGCAACCTCCGCCAACACACAGGTGTTGTCACACAAATGCAACGGCTCTGGGATATCAAATCGGGCTCCAACTCCTAGAACACTTTTTATTGGGTTAGTTTTCAAACATTCTTTCAAAGTCTTGTTCTCAAACTTTCTGGTCTCTTGTGGTCTTGGATTCTGCACGTGCAAGATTAAGGGCTAACGGTGGCATCGCAGGAAGGACTGTCCTGAGGGGAGATGGTGAGGGAGTCTGAACTTGTGTCTCCGTTTGGGATACAAAGGGAAAACACCGGCCTGAGAACTCCTTGGAAGGCGAGGTGGGAGAAATTATAAATGAGGGAACTCTCGGTCACATTGTAGAATGATATCTGCCCATATTCATAGTCAAGGAAAACTCCAACTGTATGCAACTGCTTTTCCAGAAAGACCCTTTTCAAAGGGGGAAAGACCCAGAGCGTAGGCTCCGCTGCCATCACTGACCCCGTGAGTAAGACTTTCTCTCCGGAGGCTCTGGGCGAGCTGCCCCTCCTGTAGGCAGAGCTGTAGGATATGCCCACTTGCCAGCTGGTGGCCTTTTCTACGTGCACCTCCCAATAGTGCCTCCCCGAGGTGAAGCGTTCTGCACCCAGCACCATGGCACTGAAGTTCAGTCTTTCTGGGCTGCCAGGTGTATCCTGCTGGGAATTTCTCAGTCTCACAGTTCTCAGGTCCTCAGACAGGGCCAGGCAGGGATGAGCTGTTTCAGGATCCAAAGTTAAATGTCCTACCAGGAGAGAAAATCCTCATTAACATAGGAGTCGACCAATGCCAATGCCAGAGACGTGATTTGTAACATGAGGGCTTCCCACCGAGTGGGCACAGCTCCCACGCACAGATACGGGAGAGGCCATTTGGGAGGGTCCAGGAAAAGGAACATCTAACGGAGGAAAAAAGTCCCTAAGACATGGTGGGAAGGGACCCAGTCTACCCGAGCAGGAAGAATAAAACAAAGACGAATGGGCTAAGGAAGGTTTAGAAATGCTGTCAAATTGGCCAGGCACAGTGGCTCAAGCCTGTAATCCCAGCACTTTGGGAGGCCAAGGTGGGCAGATCATGAGGTCAGGAGTTCGAGCCTGACCAACATGGTGAAACCCCGTCTCTACTAAAAATACAGACACAGTAGCTGGGTGTGGTGGCGCGTGCCTATAATCCCAGCTACTGCAGAGGCTCAGGCAGAAGAATCCCTTGAACCAGGGAGGTGGAGGTTGTAATGAGCTGAGATCACACCATTGCACTCCAGCCTGGGCGACAGAGTGAGCCTCTATCTCAAAAGAAAAAAAAAAGAAAACTAAATAAATATTAAAACGGAAACAAGAAAGAAGCACAGTCAAACTGTCCCGGTGCCAAGTTCCACCCAGGTGTCCCTGGGACCCAACCCGAGTCTTTGCAGACCTCCTCCCAGCCTGGAGCAGCCGGGGACATCGGAGTGGGCCAGCAGCTACCGATTCTCAGCCTCCCAGTGACATCTCTACACATCTGGAACATGCCCAGAGTGTGAACGGGTGCCTGGACGTCGCTGACGGCGGGCCCTGGACAGCCTCCAGTGACATCTCTACACATCCGGAACATGCCCAGAGTGTGAACGGGTGCCTGGACGTCGCTGACGGCGGGCCCTGGACATGCAGTACATCAATGGAAGATTTACCAGCGGAGGCTAGAAAACCTGGGAGATTCCTCCAGAAACCCACTGGGAGAACAGGCAGGTTCATGAATTCCTCCTGCCTGCGAGAACCGCCTTCTTCCTGCCTCTGACTGTTCCTCTCCCCTCTTTCTGCCCAACCTCTGTGTGATCTCTCAGCTCCTGGGACTTCTTCTTTCAAGCAGTAGAGTCCCCTGCCCTGCCCCTGGGAACCGCACACAGCTTCAGTTTTAAACACTCTCTGTTCTGTGTTTATGACTCACTCCATAAACAGTCAAATACCAGTTGGACAGAACACAGGAATTTCTTTCTTTCTTTCTTTCTTTTTTTGAGACGGAGTCTCACTCTGTCGCCAGGCTAGAGCGCAATGGTGCGATCTCGGCTCACTGCAACCTCCTCCTCCCGAGTTCAAGCGATTCTCCTGCTTCAGCCTCCTGAGTAGCTGGGACTACAGGCAGGCAATACCATGGCTGGCTAACCTTTTGTATTTTTAGTAGAGACGGAGTTTCACCATGTTGGCAAGGACGATGGTCTCGAGCTTCTGACTCGTGATCTGCCTGCCTCGGCCTCCCAAAGTGCTAGGATTACAGGCGTGAGCCACTGCCCCCAGACAAAACACAGGAATGTCAAACACAATGTATTCAAAATGGAACCTGAGCAGCAGTCACCGCGGCCTCTACTAACCCTAACCCTTATTGCTTTACTTGTCTAAGCCGTAAACCAGGAAAGCCTTTATTTCCTACTTTCTATAACATGGAATCCAGTTCAATTTCTATTACTTGACTGCAGTAAATGAAATTAACTTAAATCTCTGAATTGGCAGTCCAATTCACATTATTAGGGTGGTCTCAAAAGCTATATACGTCTTGCATTTTAAACAAATTGTCCGACACTCAGCATTTCCAGTAGACTGGCAGAAACGGATGCAAATTATCTCTGGAAACGCCAGGCACAGTGACTCACGCCGGTAATCCCAGCACTCTGGGAGGCCGAGGTGCACAGATCACCTGAGGTCAGGAGTTCCAGACCAGCTTGGCCAACATGGACAAACTCCATCTCTACTAAAAATACAAAAAATTCGCTGGATGTGGTGGCAGGAGCCTGTAATCCTAGCAAGTCGGGAGGCCGAGGCAGGAGAATCCCTCAAAACCAGAGATGGAGGTTGCAGTGAACTAAGATCAGGCCACTGCACTCTAGCCTGAGAGTAATAGGAGCAAGAGTCTGTCTAAAAAAAAAGGGCCCGGCACGGTAACTCACACCTGTAATCCCAGCACTTTGGAAGGCCGAGGCGGGTGGATCACAAGGTCAGGAGATCAACACCATCCTGGCTAACATAGTGAAACTCCATCTCTACAAATAATGCAAAAAAATTAGCTCAGCATGATGGTGCGCACCTGTAGTCCCAGCTACTCAGGAGGTTTAGGCAGGAGAATCGCTTGAACCCAGGAGCTGGAGGTTGCAGTGAGCTGAGATTGCGCCACTGCACTCTAGCTTGGGCAGCAGAGCAAGACTCTGTCTAAAAAAAAAAAAAAAAAGAAAAAAACCCGCAGCTACATTTCTGGATTCAAAGCATTTTTAAGTATTTGAGGAAAAAAGAAAGCATACTATGAAAAATAAGTACACATCCACAAAATAAGAACACCACTATTGGTCAAGACTAGCAGAAATAAATCTGTAAGGCACTTTAGATACTGGAATAGTCACTATCCAAAGTGCATGAATATTTAGTATCCAAAGTGAATATTCAGGCACAGAACTTTGCTTACTATGTTGGGAGAAAAATAAAATCTTAAATTTATGTATAGACTACAGAAGCTAAAAAGCAAGACTAAACAGATCTGTCAAAGAACCAAATAGATTATTCAGAGATCAAAATCAAAATGAGTGAAGTTCAATGTGCTAGTAGGTGTTTACAAGGAACGAAAGCTACAGACCTGTATTATGAACATAAATGTAAAAACTCATAGCAACAGGCTGGGCGCGGTGGCTCACGCCTATAATCCCAGCACTTTGGGAGGCCAAGGCGGGTGGATCATGAGGTCAAGAGATCGAGACCATCCTGGTCAACAAGGTGAAACCCTGTCTCTACTAAAAATACAAAAATTAGCTGGGCACGGTGGTGCGTGCCTGTAGTCCCAGCTACTTGGGAGGCTGAGGCAGGAGAATTGCTTGAACCCAGAAGGCAGAGGTTGTGGTGAGCCGAGATCGTGCCATTGCACTCCAGCCTGGGTAACAAGAGTGAAACTCCTTCTCAAAAAAAAAAAAAGCAACATGTTAGCACGTTTGGTACAATGACACATGAAATGAATACAGCTTCATTAGGGAATGCAAGGCTGGTTGAACACACCAAGAAAAATTAATATAATTCACCAACTAACAGATGAAGAAGGCTGGGTGTGGTGGCTCAAGCCTGTAATCCCAGCACTTTGGGAGGCCAAGGCAGATGGATCACTTGAAGCCACGAGTTCTAAGACCAGCCTGGTCAACATGGTGAAACCCCATTTCTACTAAATTACAAAAATTAGCCAGGCGTGATGGCAGGTGCCTGTAATCCCAGCTACTCAGGAGGCTAAGGCAGGAGCGTCTTTTGAATCCAGGAGACGGAGGTTGCAGTGAGCTGAGATCGTGCCTGCACTCCAGTCTGGGTGACAGACTGAGACTCATTTTTAAAAAATGGTTGAAGAAGAAAAAACAAGAATATCTCAAGAGAAAAAGAACTTGAAAAATTCAACATTCATTCATGATAAATATTCTTAGTAAACCAGAAACAGAGGGAAACATCCTCAATTTGATGAAAGGCAGCCATAGAAATCCTATAGCTATATCAGAATTTAGAGTGAAAGACTTAATGTTTCCTTTCTTCCTAAGACCAAGAATAAGCACGTTTCTACTCTCACCACATTGCAGGTCTGAGCCAGTTTATTTTCACTTATTTTCAGACAATAAGTCAAGAAAAATACAGAAAAGGCTTATAGATTGAAATGGAAGGAATAAAGCTATCTATACTCATATACATACTGCATGACTGTGTAGAAAATCCCGAATAATCTATTTTAGAAATCCACTGTCTATGGCTGGACACAGTGCCTCACATCTGTAATCCCAGCACTTTGGGAGGTTGAGGTAGAGCATTTGAGATCAGGAGTTCCAGACCAGCCGGGCCAGCATGGTGAAACCTCGTTTCCACTAAAAATACAAAAGTTAGCCGGGCTTGGTGGCACATGACTGTAGTCCCAGCTACCCGGCAGGGTGAGGCATGAGAATCGCTTGAACCCAGGAGGTAGAGGCTGCAGTGAGCTGAGATTGTGCCGTTGCACTCCAGCCTGGGCAACAGAGCGAGACTCCTCCGTCTTAAAATAAAAAGAAAGAAAGAAAGAAAGAAAGAAAGAAAGAAAGAAAGAAAGAAAGAAAGAAAGAAGAAATCCACTGTCTAATGAATGAGCTTTGCACAGTTATAGGATACAAATGTCAGTAATAAAAAAAATTCCATTTATATATACTTGTAATGAACTAGAAATGAATGAAATGTCAATTAGAAACTGATATTTTAAAATACCGTTTACAGTGGTACTAAAAAACATAAAATACTTAGGGACACATCTCAAAATCCATGCAACATTTGTATGCTGAAGGTGACGAGAGAAACTGAAGACCTAAATAAATGGAGGTATTTTGTATTCCTGGACTGAAAGCCCTAAATATTGTCAAGACGTCAGTGCTCCCGAGCTCATCTACAGATTCAATGCCGTATCGATAGAAACCCCGGCGGTCCGTTCTGAAGACGCCAACAAGCTGATTTCAAAATTTATGTGGAAAAGCAAACAACCTACAGTAGTCAAAACTATTCTGAAAAAGAATAAATTTGGAGAATGCACAGTACCTGCTTTCAAGGCTTCCTACACAGTTATCAATCAAGCCAATGTGCTATTGGCAAACGGATAGAGTCAACGATCGATAGACCTATTAGAGGCACCAACAGACCTGGCCACATATGCCAGGTGATTTTCAAGAAAGCGGCTGAGGAAATTTAACGGACTGGATACACACGTGTCAAAAATAAAAACAAGGGCCGGGCGCGGTGGCTCACGCCTGCAATCCCAGCCCTTTGGGAGGCTGAGGTGGGGCGGATCATGAGGTCAGGAGATGGAGACCATCCTGGACAACATGGTGAAACCCCGTCTCTAAAAATAAATAAATAAATAAGAAGTCGGGGGAGAAGAGGGTTGGCAGCATTCTGTGAACTATACACGGATAGTAACTCTCAGTGGTTCATAAGCCACTCTGTAAAACCTAAAATCACAGAACTTTTAGAAGGAAATCTTTATTGGCTTTGGCAAAATCTTAAATAGGACACAAAAAGCATAAATCATAAAATAAAAAAATTGATAAATTGAATTTCATCAAAATGCAAAACCTCTACACTTCAAAAGACACTGTTAGGAAAATGAGACTAAATCACACTGGGAGGAGATACCTGCAAAACATATACGACAAATGACCACCTAACGGAATATATGAGGAAACTATAAAACAATAAGAAACATACAACCGGCCGGGCGCGGCAGCTCAAGCCTGTAATCCCAGCACTTTGGGAGGCCAAGGCAGGCGGATCACCAGGTCAAGAGATCGGGACCATCCTGGTCAACATGGTGAAACCCTGACTCTACGAAAAATTAGCCCGGCATGGGTAGTGCGTGCCTGTAATCCCACCTACTCAGGAGGCTGAGGCAGGAAAATTGCCTGAGCCCAGGAGGCAGAGGGTGCGGTGAGCGGAGATCCCGCCATTACACTCCAGCCTGGGTAAGAAGCACAGAACTCCATCTCAAAGAAAAAAAAAAGAAAGAAAGAAAAGAAACATACAACCCAATTTAAAAAAGGGGTTTGTACATGTATTTCACCAAAGTAGAAATAGAGGGAAAATAAACATGGAGATATGCTCAACATCATTACTCATTCTGGAAATGCAAGTTAAAATGAGATTCCACTAGGCATTGGGTCGGATGTAGTAAAACAAACTAGAATACCAATGCTGGTGAGAACACAGAGTAACTGAATCTTTTGCACAGCATTGGTGGGAAGGCAAAATGGCACAGGCAGTTTGGAAAACAAGTCAATCAACAACCACGAAGCCGTGCCCACACAAATCTGCATGCTAATATCACAGCACAGAGCTGGAAAAAACCCACGTCCATCAGACTGCAAGAGGATAAATAAGTTATGGTGTATTTATACAATGGAATATTTAGCGACAATAAAAAGGAACGAACTAGTGATACACGCAGCAGCGTGGATTTTTTTTTTTTTTTGAGTCAGAGTCTTGCTCTGTCACCAGGTTGGAGTGCAGTGGCGCAATCTCGGCTCACTGCAACCTCCGCCTCCTGGTTTCAAGCGATTTTTCCACCTCAGCCTCCTGAGTAGCTGGGACCACAGGCGTGTGCCACGACGCCCTGCCAATTTTTTTGTATTTTTAGTAGAGAGGAGGTTTCATCCTGTTTGTCAGGATTGTCTCTATCTCTTGACCTCGTGATCCGCCTGCCTCGGCCTCCCAAAGAGCCACCGTGCCCGGCCAGCAGCGTGGATGTTCTGTATCTCAACTGCAATATGCTATGAGCCTCGAAGAGCCACACGCTGTACAATTCCATGGATAGGACGCCTGGAAAAGGCAAAGCTCCAAGGACAGGAGATAGAAACCCTTTGTTATACATGCTAAATATCTCCCCCTAGAAGTTTCAAATTTTCAAGCAGTAGAATCTGCCTGCAATCACGTTTCATGGCCAGGAAACTAGTAAAGAATTTGCATGGGAGCCGAGGCTCATGCCTATAATCCCAGCACTGTGGGAAGCCAAGGTGGGCCGATCACCTGAGGTCAGGAGTTCAAGACCAGCCTGACCAACATGATAAAACTCATCTTCACTAAAAATGCAAAAAATTAGCCGGGTATGGTGGTGCATGCCTGTAATCCTAGCTACTCGGGAGGCTGAGGCAGGAGACTTACTTGAACCTGGGAGAAGGAGGTTGCAGTGAGCCAAGATGGCGCCACTGCACTCCAGCCTGGGCAGCAAGAGCAAAACTCCACCTCAAAAAAAAAAAAAAATTTGCATGGGAAAAACTTTCTTTTTTTTTTGAGATGGAGTTTCACTCTTGTTACCCAGGCTGGAGTGCAATGGCGCGATCTCGGCTCACCGCAACCACTGCCTCCCGGGTTCAGGCAATTCTCCTGCCTCAGCCTCCTGAGTAGCTGGGATTATAGGCACACGCCACCATGCCCAGCTAATTTTTTGTATTTTCAGTAGAGACGGGGTTTCACCATGTTGACCAGGATGGTCTCGATCTCTTGACCTGGTGATCCGCCTGCCTCGGCCTCCCAAAGTGCTGGGATTACAGGTGTGAGCCACCGCGCCCGGTGAAAAACTTTCAATGTAAGATCATAGTTATTTTCTTGTTCCTTATGTAATATGTATAACATATTAAGCTCTCCAGTCTTAACATTTTTATTTATTTACTTACTTATTTTTGGACCGAGTCTCACTCTGTTGCCCAGGCTGGAGTGCAGTGGTGTGATCTCAGCTCACTAAAACCTCCATCTCCTGGGTTCAAGCAATTCTCCCATCTCAGTCTCCTGAGTAGCTGGGACTATAGGCATGCGTCAACACAACTGGCTAATTTTCATATTTTTGGTAGTGATGGGATTTCACCATGTTGGTCAGGCTGGCCTGGAACTCCCGGCCTTAAGCGGACTGCCTGCCTTGGCCTCCCAAGGCCCTTCTGGGATTACAGCTGTGAGCCACTGCACTGGCCTAACAATTTTTAACTATTGGAATTTGTTTTTATTTATGGCAGGATGGTTACCTGCTTCTCAAATACAGAACAGTGTCGTTACTTACTTTGGAATACTCTGAACATGCTGCTCAGTCCTCTTATGTGGCATAAACTCAGGTCTGTGATATGAGCAGGCTCTAGATTCTCAAGCAGCAGTGCGTTGCTCCTGAAGAGAAAGGACAGCCTCAGTCATCTGCACAGACCGTAGGCCCCTTGGTGTAGTGGATGGATCCCATTACAGCCCACAAGCAAATGCAATCTCCTTATCCCAATTAACATCTTACTGCAGTCTGATTCCGACCCCATTGTGTGCAAAACGAAAACTCACCTTTCCAAAGAGTCTTTTGCATTCTAAGGGAAAGAAAAGAGATCAGGTTACTACTGGGTTTTTGAGCTGTCTTTTGCAATCTGCAGAGGAAAATATCCTCTTTTCTTTTTTTTTCTTGAGACCGAGTCTTGCTCTGTCGCCCAGCCTGGAGGTCAGTGGCACAATCTCAGCTCACTGCAACCTCCACCTCCCGGGTTTAAGTGATTCTCCTGCCTCAGCCTCCCGAGTAGCTGAGATTACAGGCATGTGCCACCATGCCCAGCCAATTTTTGTATTTTTAGTGGAATCAGGGTTACACCATGTTGGCCAGGCTGGTCTCGAACTCCTGACCTCAAGTGATCTGCCTGCCTCAGGCTCCCAAAACGGAGGGATTACAGGCGTGAGCCACCTCGCCCGGCCAAAATATCCTCTCGAACACAATTTCCATGTCATTTCTTCAGCCTCATAATGCTAGTTATCAGATGAATTAATTCTAACATGGAAATAGGAAAGGTCAGAAATCACTTTGCTGTATTCCCAAGGGAAATGCTTTCTGCACCTCATCCCAGCCAGCTTACTCTCCAGATGGTGAGCATCTATGTGCTTTCCACGAAGGGCGTGGCCAGAGTTGAGCAGGTGAAGGGGCTGCTGGCTGCCGAGGGCAGTGTGAGCTAGGCAGAGCCACACCTGGCCTCACGCTCAAGAACTGAACTGCTTCCTAAGGATTTGCCTGCAGACACTTTCCAGATGAGTGCATTCACTTGCAATGATAAACCCAGCAGAGGGATACGCACAGTCTTAAAAAGATGGGAGGGGCCGGGCGTGGTGTCTCATGCCTATAATCCCAGCACTTTGGGAAGCTGAGGAGGGCGGATCACCAAGTCAAGAGATCGAGACCATCCTGACCAACATGGTAATAAAACCCTGTCTCTACTTAAAAAAAACACAAAAATTAGCTGGATGTGGTGGTGCAGTCCTGTAATCCCAGCTACTCAGGAGGCAGAGGCAAGAGAATCACTTGAACCCGGGAAGTGGAGATTGCAGTGGGCTGACACTGTGTCACTGCACACCAGCCTGAACAACAGAGTGAGACTCTGCCTAAAAAAAAAAAGATACTAACCCACTTTCTGAAAAGGCAACATATGCTACTAGACGAGCTTCAAAATATGCAACACTTACCATAGACTGAGTAGCTTCTTCACAACAGGAAGTCATTCCTGGCAGTTCTGGAGGCCGGGAATTTAAGATCGAGGCACTGGCAGATTCAGTGTCCGGTGAGGGCTGGAGCCCTCCTCGGTAGCCTTCATCTCACTCTAACCTCCCATGGCTGAAGGGGCGAGGTCTGCCTCGGCCTCTTTCACAAGAGCCCTGATCTCATTCACAGAGGCTCTGCCTCAGGAGCCACTCACCACCCAAAGGCCCCACCTCTGAATACCATCACCTTGGGGAGAGGATTTCAACATATATATTTTGGAGGGACACAAACGTCAGACCACAGAAGATAATCTTACCCTTGTTTCAAGAGTATCACAGATGACTATGTATTAATTTTTTTTGCCAGAAAGTCTGTGAATATTAGCAAGCACACACGTATGCGTGTGTATATACATATATACTTATTACACAAAGATCACACAAGAGGTTCTGAACTTTCGTTTTTGTTTTTTTTTTTTGAGACGGAGTTTCGCTCTTGTTACCCAGGCTGGAGTGCAATGGCGCGATCTCAGCTCACCGCAACCTCCGCCTCCTGGGTTCAAGCAATTCTCCTGCCTCAGCCTCCCGAGTAGCTGGGACTACAGGCACGCGCCACCATGCCCGGCTAATTTTTGTATTTTTAGTAGAGACGGGGTTTCACCTCCTTGACCAGGATGGTCTCGATCTCTTGACCTCATGATCCACCTGCCTCGGTCTCCCAAAGTGCTGGGACTAGAGGTGTGAGCCACCGCGCCTGGCTTGCAACTTTCTTTTTTCACACTTAACGAGTGCTTGAAGATACTGTTTTAGTGCCTATGGAGCTGTTTCACTACTTGGTTACAGAATATCTTCCTACATGGTTGTATCATAATGCGACTCACCCATTGTGAACCACACCGCGTCACATCTCAATCCTAACAAACTACTGATAATTTTAAGGAGAGAATTCATCTCATGACGCAGCTCCTCGCTATACCATGAAGTTACCACCATTGACAATGCTTTTGGCAACTGAAAAATGGTTGTGTAGCCTTCTTTTGCGGTTGAAGATCACTGGATATTGTGTTCTGCCAGCGACCCCTAATGAGTACTATCCACTTCTCATTTCTCAAACACTGGAATGAGTTTTATTTCCTCTTTCCCAGCATCTTACCTTGAGCAACGCTAAGGCGCCGTCCCCACACTTCTTCTCAAGCTCCGCGGTGAGCGTCTGGAGGCCGCAGATCTGCTCAGAAACCCTGGCTTCACTCTCCTTCAGCTTCCTCATGTTCTCTCTCCCCACATGGCCCAGTCTCTGCAGAAGCATCTCTCAGTTACTATTCAACATCCGCAAGTTCAGGAACAAGAGTTCAGTCATTTCTCCTCCTGATTAATTCAACATGTCTAAAAACCTGCTTTTTGGCCGGGCACAGTGGCTCATGCCTGTAATTCCAGCAATTTGGGAGGCTGAGGCAGGCAGATCATGAGGTCAGGAGTTCGAGAGCAGCCTGGCCAAGATGGTGAAACCCTATCTCTACTAAAAACACAAAAATATTAGCAGGGAGTGTTGGCACGCGCCTGTAGTCCCAGCTACTTGGAAGGCTGAGGAAGAAGAATCACCTGAACTCAGGAGGCAGTGGTTGCAGTGAGCCAAGATCGTGCCACTGCACTGCAGCCTGGGTGACAGCGTGAAACTCCATCAAAACAAAACAAAGCAACCCAGACTTGCTGTCCTGCCTCCCACCCCAGAAACAGACATAATTAGGCACGGCCATGATATTCTTCTGTTGAAGTAGGACGCCTCAAGAGACACACAATTCTTTAACACCTATTCTGTATGTTTAAGCTAAGACAGACGTGTGTGCACCAGATGTGTGATTGTCCCTGGATATGTGATTCTGAAACTGACATAATGTTCAGCTCTTCTTTCTCTCATTTCTCAAATATTATGAGGATGTTGTTTTCTTTCTTTTTTTTTTTTTTGAGACGGAGTTTCAAGCTTGTTACCCAGGCTGGAGTGCAATGGCGTGATCTCGGCTCATCGCAACCTCCGCCTCCTGGGTTCAGGCAATTCTCCTGCCTCAGCCTCCCGAGTAGCTGGGATTACAGGCACGCGCCACCATGCCCAACTAATTTTTTTAAATATTTTTAGTGGAGACGGGGTTTCACCATGTTGACCAGGATGGTCTTAATCTCTTGACCTCGTGATACACCCGCCTCGGCCTCCCAAAGTGCTGGGATTACAGGCTTGAGCCACCGCGCCCGGCCGAGGATGTTGTTTTCAACATCTCACCTGTAGCATTTCCTGGAACTTCTCCTCTAGCTCCGTGGCGAGCTTCATCAGCTGATTGAGACGAGCTTCTCTCAAGTTCAAGTCAGCTATGCACCCATGCCACCTCTGGAGATTCAGCTCACGCTCTTCATTCAACAACCGGAGTCTCATATTGTACTCAGACTCGATCATCTCTTTAAAATGTTGTTCCTCTTCCTTCCTCATAGATATAGACAGGATAGACTTCAAGTTACACATGATGGATTAAAGCCACACACACACACACACACACACACACACACACACACACACACACACACTATAATACCTATATACATACATCTTATATTGACCAGGATACATTCTTTCCATCTCTAATCCCAGTATAGAGACAGTGAAATATAAAGTGCAGGAGAGGAAAGAAAAGGAATACATCCGAAGGACAGATGGAATTTGAATTGACATCAGCCAAGACATCAACACAATTTTAGAACATAAAATGTAGATGGGCCGGGTGCGGTGGCTCAAGCCTGTAATCCCAGCACTTTGGGAGGCCGAGGCGGATGGATCACGAGGTCAAGAGATCGAGACCATCCTGGTCAACATGGTGAAACCCCGTCTCTACTAAAGATACAAAAAATTAGCTGGGCGTAGTGGCGCGTGCCTGTAATCCCAGCTACTCTGGAGGCTGAGGCAGGAGAATTCCCTGAACCCAGGAGGCGGAGGTTGTGGTGAGCCGAGATTGCACCATTGCACACTAGCCTGGGCAACAAGAGCGAAACTCCGTCTCAAAAAAAAAAAAATGCAGATGAAGAAATGTTCATCAATAAGGAAAATCTAAGGAAGCTACAGCCTCTGTCATCACAGAGACCAGGACGCTGGAAAAGGGCCAATGGGATTTGCCGACGCTTGGCTAAGAGGTGTGGGAAAAAGGAGCCATGGATGAAAGACACCGAAAAGTTTAGACTAAGCACCTGGAAGAATGGAATTACCAAAATATGGAGAGAATCTATGGAAGGGCTGGATTCCAGGAGTGAGGCGTGTGCATGAGTTTGGGATGTGATGAACTTGATATCACTTAGATATCCAGGTATAGATAAGAAGTGGGAAACTGGACATGAAGTCTACTACCATTTGGAAGCCCCGGCTAGGGATACCTATTTGGGACTAGTTATCTTAGAGATGCTGTTTGAGCATCTCCATTAAGCTATTTTTTTTTGAGATGGAGTCTCGCTCTGTCACCCAGTCTGGAGTGCGAAGACACGATGTTGGTTCACTGGAACCTCCACCTTCTGGGTTCAAGCGATTCTCCAGCCTCAGCCTCCTGAGCAGCTGGGACTGCAGGTGCCTGCCACATGCCCAGCTAATTTTGTATTTTTAGTAGAGATGGGGTTTCACCATATTAGCCAAGCTAGTCTCCATCTCTTGACCTCGTGATCTGCCTGCCCCTGACTCCCAAAGTGCTGCGATTACAGGCGTGAGCCATCGTAAGGGCTTATTAAGCTATTCGAGATTCCGTGAAATCAAGATTAACGGCGCATTTCATAACAATGGCGTAGCACTCATCTGACCACTCCTCACCACCTCTCTACCTGCCCCCATCTCGCCACCATCTCTCCCTAAGTGCTGCAAGTCCTTCAGAACATCGCTCCGCCTCTGCTTTTTTTTCTTTTTTTTTTGAGATGGAGTCTGGCATTGTTGCCCAGGCTGGAGTGCAATGGCGTGATCTCGGCTCACTGCAATCTTCACCTTCCAGGTTCAAGAGATTCTCCTGCCTCAGCCTCCCGAGCAGCTGCGACTACAGACGCGCCCCACCAGGCCCAGCTAATTTTGTATTTTGAGTAGAGACGGGGTTTCACCATGTTTGGCAGGATGGTCTGGATCTCCTGACCTCATGATCTGCCCGCCTCGGCCTCCCGAAGTGCTGGGATTACAGCGTGAGCCACCGCGCCTGGCTTGCTGTTACCATCTTAGTGTCTATTTTCATTTGGCACGTTTCTACGAAATGGAAGATAAATGTCAGTCTTCTGTTCAAAACCTTCCAGCGGTTTTGGACCTTGTATCGCATTGTAGGCTAGCCACCCCAAATGCCGGACCCCTCCTGATCTCAACACCTCCAGCCCTACTTCCTTAGCAGCCGCAGACGAAGGCCTGGCAGCCTCGAGGCCTCCCTCGCTGCCATTCCTGCCACCTCGAGTATTCCTCCCCAAGACCACTGCCTGGCCAAGTCCCTCGCCTGCTTCAGCGCTGCCTTCTGAGTAACAAGGTTCTGATCACTTTATTTAAAAAAGCTCACTCCATTGCTTTCTTTCTCACTTAAAAAAAATGTTTTTAAACACTGACCATGTAACATGCTATACATTTAACTTATTTTGGGCACATCCACCAGAATGTAAGTTCCGCAAAAGCAGAACTGTTTTTTGGTTTTCCCCTGATGAGCCCCGAGCACCTTGCAGAGTCCCTGGCAAACAGTGGAATCCCATTATTTGCTTGGGGCTGAAAAAATAAGGGGGATCAGCTGAAAAATTCTTACCTAGCCAGGCAATTGTCCTCCACGCTCTAACCCAACTAGGCATTTATTTCTTGTAAGAATTGAGGAAGAGGGCCGGGTGCAGTGGCTCATGCCTGTAATCCCAGCACTTTGGAAGGCCGAGACAGGCAGATCGTGAGGTCAGAAGTTGGAGACCAGCCTGGCCAATACGATGAAACCCCGTCTCTACTAAAAATATAAAACTTATCCAGGTGTGGTGGCAGGTGCCTGTAATCCCAGCTACTCGGGAGGCTGAGGCAGGACAATTGCTTGAACCCGGGAGACGGGGATTCCAGTGAGCCAAGATCACGCCACTGCACTCCAGCCTGGGTAACAGAGCAAGACCCCATCTCCTGGGGGAAAAAAAACTGAGGGAGAGGAAAGACCCAGAATTTGGGATACCTTGCACAGAATAGGATTAAGTATGAAGATACAGTCTGAAATTAGAAGTAAAACGTGCCTAACAGGTTGTGAACCCTCAGCTTTGAATAACAATTCTGAAATTGCTCTTTAAAGAGTTTCAGAATTTATGTGGCAACCAAAAGTACAAGAGATGCTTATTGTCCTACCTCGTTGTCATAAATGGGGCCATTCACCTTTTTCTGTCATTGCAAACAAGCACTGCAAATGCCATTTTACTCACAATATAGTTAACCTGTATTTATCTTTTTTTTTTTTTTTGAGACGGACTTTCGCTCGTTACCCAGGCTGGAATGCAATGGCGTGATCTCAGCTCACCTCCTGGGTTCAGGCAATTCTCCTGCCTCAGCCTCCAGAGTAGCTGGGATTACAGGCACGCGCCACCATGCCCAGCTAATTTTTTGTATTTTTAGTAGAGACAGGGCTTCACCATGTTGACCAGGTTGGTCTCGATCTCTCGACCTCGTGATCCACCCGCCTCGGCCTCCCAAAGTGCTGGGATTACAGGCTTGAGCCACCGCGCCCGGCCAACCTGTATTTATCTTATCATGAACAAAGTTCAGGCTTTTTAAATGTATTTAAAATATATTTACATTCTTTTTTGCAAACTCTTATTTGATCATTTTTAAAAATTAAGTTTCTAGTCTTTTTCTTACTTTTTTTTTTTTTGAGAGGCTGTCTCACTCTGTGGCCCTGGCTGGAGCGCAGTGGTGTGATCTCGGCCCACTGCAACCTCCGCCTCCCGGTTCAAGCACTTCTCCGGCCTCAGCCTCCAGAGTAGCTGGGACTACAGGCTCCCGTGACCTTGCCCCGTTAATTTGTTTGTATATATATATATATATATATATATATTTTTTTTTTTTTTTTCTTTTTATGAGATGGAGTCTCGCTCTGTCGCCAGGCTGGAGTGTAGTGTCACGATCTTGGCTCACTGCAACCTCCTCTCCAGGGTTCAAGTGATTCTCCTGACTCAGTCTCCAGAGTAGCAGGGACTACAGGGATGCGCCACCATGCCCAGCTAATTTTTGGTATTTTTGGTAGAGACAGGGTTTCACTATGTTAGCCAGGATGGTCTCGATCTACTGACCTCATGATCCACCCACCTCGGCCTCCCAAAATGCTGGGATTACAGGCGTGAGCCCCCACGTGCAGCCTAATTGGTGTATTTTTAGTAGAGATGGTTTTTTTCATGTTGGACAGGCTGGTCTCAAATTCCTGACATCAAATGATCCACCATCCTCGGCCTCCCTAAGTGCATGGATTATAGGCATGAGCCACCACGCCCGGCCACTTACTAAAGAGCTGTATACACATTAAGATATTGGCACTTTTCCTTCCTAGAGATTTCAAATGATTTTTCTCCTTTGCAATTTGTCTTTGGACTTTGTTTATATTACACTATTTTCTCTCTCTTCTTGTTTTTTTTTTTTGAGATGGAGTCTCACTCTGTCACCCAGGCTGGAGGGCAGTGGCATGATCTCAGCTCACTGCAACCTCTACCTCCCCAGTTCAAGTTTCTCCTGCCTCAGCCTCCTGAGTAGCTGGGATTACCGGCACATGTCACCATGTCCTGCTGATTTTTGTATTTTTAGTAGAGAAGGAGTTCCACCATGTTGGTCAGGCTGGTCTCGAACTCCTGACCTCATGATCTTCCCACCTCGGTTTCCCAAAGTGCAGGGATTACAGGCACGAGCCACTGTGCCCAGCCCATACACTATTTTCTAACCACATGACTGGTAATTTTCCCCCAAGAATGAAGTAAGCACACACCTGAATCATCACCATTCTTTCTTGCTCATCGGTCAATATGCTTTTAGCTGCTTCCAGTTTCTCCCTCAGTGTGTTCAATGTTTCCTGGAATAACTTCTACAGAGAAAACATAGAATTCCAGGTGAGACCGTTGATTTAACAGTTGGATTCCTAACCTCAGACAACTAAAAAGCCAACAACTCAGAGTATATATGTTCTTAGCCTCAGGTTGAAGTTTCAGTGAATATGGAACTCATCTAATATTCCTTAATACACATCAACTAAAGTTATGGTTTTGGAGCGCCAGAATGTCTGTCCATTTCATCAGTACAGGAGTTGGCCAGAGTGTCTTGGGATTGGCGTGAATCTTACCCCGTAATGCTCAGCAGCCTCTTGTATTCCGCACACCCTGTGATGCTGGTGGTCCTGGGACTGGACGCATTTGCTGCAGAGTGTGATCTGGTCAGTATCACAGAACAGCTGTGTTTGTTCCAGGTGTGCTTCACAACAGGCATCTTCTGCGACGCTGTGCTGGAACCCAGGGCTTAGTCTTTGGGACATCCTGGTAGGTGTCCCTAGCTGAAGACTGGACTGTTTGCTTCTGCTGTTAGACACACTTCCCTGCACTCTAAAGGGTGGGAAAATGGTGGCTTCCTTTCTTTTCTGGAGCAGGCACACACACGTGGCAACTTCAGGGTCCACAAGATCCACGGAAACAGTCCACGCAGACAGAGCGGGTCAGCGCTCCAGACTCCTCAAATCCAACAAACCTCTGGCAGCTTCCTGCTTGGGGAAGAGACACAGTTAGGCCAGTGTTTTAAGATCAGAGGGGCTCCCTCATGTCTTCTGACAATCTTGAGCAATAGGCTGAAAATCAATCACAAGCAACAGCGTGACACAGCACTCACCCATGAGTCATTTAGGAGAAAAACGTGCTCAAAAGGCACAGTGCTAATTATTGAAGGAACTCCAGGACTAGGGTGAGGTAACAGAGTACGAAAGACGTTCACTGGTAGAGGCAGGTGCTGTGGCTTACGCCTGTAATCCCAGCACTTTGGGAGGCCAAGGCGGGTGGATCATGAGGTCAGGAGTTCAGGACCAGCCTGGCCAGCATGGTGAAACCCACTCTCTACTAAAAACTACAAAAAAAAAAAATGTTAGCCGGTCGAGGTAGCAGGCGCCTGAAGTCCCAGCTACTGAGGAGGCTGAGGCAGGAGAATCGCTTGAACCTGGAAGGCAGTTTGCAGTGAGCGAGATCGTGCCACTGCACTGCAGCCTGGGAGACAAAATGAGACTTAGTGTGGAAAAAAAAAAAAAAAAAAAAAAAGAAGTTAATTGGTAGAATTGCAGGAAAAAAACCCTCAACTGGCCAGGTGCGGTGGCTCACGCCTGTAATCCCAGCACTTTGGAAGGCCGAGGTGGGTGGATCACCTGAGGTCGGGAGTTCGAGACCAGCCTGACCAACATGGAGAAACCCCGACTCTAAGAAAAAAAAAACCACACAACTATTTGAAAAAGTTATTAAAATCCTTCCCCTTTTAGAGACAGGGTCTAGAGTAGAGTGGCGTCACCGCAGCTCCCTGCAGCCTCTCGAGCTCAGGGCTCCAGCAACGCTCCCACCTCAGCTTCGGGAGTGGCTGGGACCGCAGGTGGCTCAAAGCACATTGCAACAGAAGGAACGCTGGAGCAACCAGAAGACGGCGGGTCCGAGAGGCCATAAACCAGAGATTTGGGCAACAGTGAAACCACGCGCGCTTCAGTTCTGGGGAATACAACTCAGGAGCCCGTGACGCGCAGCCGCGATGGGGACGCGAGCGCGCCGGGTCCTTCCTCGGACTCCACCTCGGCGGGAGCGCAGCTGGGTCCGCGCGGGAGCTTTACACGCGCGAGGCGGCGCCCCGAGACTGCGGACCCGGGCGAGGCTCAGGCGGCGCGGCTGGAGGCAGCGCCGGGAAGACCCGCCCTGCTCGGGGCAGGCGCGCCCCTGGCGGATCAGGCCACCTGCACCCGCGGGGCGGCCCCCGGGCTCCGAGGGGAGGTCCGTGGTTTCCCGGCCCGTGCTGGGCAAGCGAGAGGCCAGACTCCTAATTCGGCCAAACGAGGGAAGAAGAGCGGCCGGGCTAAGGGGCCGGCGCGGTACCACCGGCGCTTTGCCAACGCTGTGCCCACCTTTGGCAGGAAGGGCCCCCATGCCAACTCTTACGTCCTTCGTAATTCCGGCTTTCTCTAATAAAGAAGCCAGTTAGCTCGGAAAAAAATTTTCAGAAAAACGTTTTTTGTTATTTTAAATGAATACTTATAAAAGGCAGTTTTAAATGTCCAATACGGTAAACGTAGATAGACACGAACGCTCATAAACAGAAGCTCATTGGGATCTTCGTCAATCATGTGCAAAGGAGAACCGATTTCGCGGGGGGCGGGAGAGCTGGAGAAACAGCTGATGTAGAGGCGCGTTGGCGGGTGCGGCAAACCACCATGGCGCATGTAGACCTGTGTTCTGCACATGTACCCCAGAAATTACAGTATAAAAAAAATTAATGCCATGTGAGGAAGCGAACAAAGAGTATGTGGCAAAATGTAAAAGAAAGTATTCTACGGCTGTACTACGCAGTTAATAAATAATAATAAAATGTTATTTTTCCGGGGAAAAAAGGAGTACTGATTTCAAAACGTTGGGAATCTTGGCCTGAAAAGGCATATTCCCCACAAATGGGATTGTGGATGAATGTATCCATAATTCTGGTATGTTTTGTCAGTTTCCCAAGCACGAAAGTTGTACGATTTTGCACTCCAAGCAACAAATTGAAAAGATGTTACACTTTTGGATCATTGCCCACCGGCTGGCTGGGAAAGACTATGTTCATACACTTTCAACTTCCATCTGTTCTGTTATTAATGTGTCTAAACCTTTTATTTTCAGTTGCTAAGAAGCCATTTTCATTTATTTTGCTGCAAACTCTATGTTCAAGCCTCTTTCCCAGCTTATTCCATCCGGCTTTTTGGCCTTTTTAGGGGGAAGGGTCAATATTAAGAGACAGTTTACAGATCCAAGTTCCTTTGTGTATCATACGAGTTGCAAACACTCTCTCTCTTTGTCTTTGAATGTGCTCTCATTTCTGGTTCTGCTTAGGTCTTTGAAATCCCTGGTAGTTTCCCATGTTTTACGTCCCTGAACGTGTCTGAGATGACCCCAAGTCACCAAAACAAAGAAATTCACCAATTCAAATTTTCCTTAAGAACTGAAATTTTCCTCGAGCTTGGCAGCAAACATAGCTGACTACCACGCTCTTCTTCCAGAACGTCTCCTCTCATCTGTGTACAGCTCACATTCCTCTAACTTGACTGGTCTTGTTTCCCAAGGTCTTTCCTGGTTCCACAACCTCTGAACCTCTCCATCTTGGGGGGCTTCAGGGTTCAGTTCTGGCCTCCCAGTCCTGGTCTCCCAGGTAATCTTACTCATTTCTTAAGATTTAATTACCACTTTCCGACTTCCAACTCCTGCCCAATTCTCAACATTTTTGCAATCGAATGTGTAAGGAGCACCCAACATTAACATGGCTAAAGCCGCTCTGGATCTCAACCCAATGCCTCTCTTCCCCAAACTCATTCCTTTAGAGCCACCGTTTCAGCCTTCCATTCACCAACTCCACTATTGTTTTCCAAATTTATATTCTGCCCTGCCCTCCCGGCCCATCTCCAGCTCCCCTCCGCTCAAACACCGGAATACTACTTTAAAACCAAAACCAAAACCACTTTCTGTGGCATGTAGAGTAAGATCCGTGTGGCTAACCCCGTTCTGTACAATCTGGGCTCCTGCCTCACCTGACCTCACTGTAGCTTCCCGCATCACCATCAACTCCATGGCAGAAATTCATCTCAGCCCTTCCCCCTTCCAAGGCTGAAGTTCTCTGCTCATTTGTGCAATTCTGGCTGCCTCTTCTTCTCTTCAGTTTTCAGCTCAAACGTCTTCCCAGAGCGAGACCTTTCCATCACCACTCCACTTGAAATACCTTCCCACCACTCATTTCCTGATTTATTTTCTTTGTAGCTGAATGAATGGTTTCACCATCCTAGGAGCAAAATGACTCGTGGGTCACTCTCCATTCATAAGAAACCGAATTCCTTCGATGCCCGGAGTCTACATCTGACACAGTAGATGCACAATAAATACTTTAAAAGATATTTTATGCCAAACCAGTAAGTATTTAAGGAGCAACGAGAGGGGGCAGAGACTAAACATTTTTACAGAAATAGGAAGGAGAGTGGAAGAATGAAGCCCCAGAATGTTGCCGACCCTTGCTTGCTTTTCCTAAATTTTTTCTTTGCTCTGGCGTTTTCCTGGTAACACACAGATAGGGAAAAAAAAAAAAGAACAAACTATGTGTCTGTGTAGATTCTTTGTTTCCTTTAGCACCGACTTGCAGTAAACACACATAGATTGCAAGATCAAGATGAGAAATTTACAGAAACAGTTATTAAGAAAATGAGCTGCAGAGGAAAGCTCACTTACTTTCTTTGTAGCAATCCGGGATATTACCAGGGTTTTTTCTTTTCTTTGAGACAGGGTCCTGCTCTGTCAGTCGGCTTACTGTAGCCTCGAACTCCCACCTTGGCCTCCTGAGTAGCTAGAAGTTACAGGCGCTGTATGACCACACCCAGCTAATTTTTGTATTTTTTTGTAGAGACGGGGTTTCAGTATGTTTCCCCAGGCTGCTCTTGAACTCCTGAGCTCAAGCTGTCTGCCTGCCTCAGCCTCCCAAAGTGCTGGGATTACAGGAATGAGTCACCACGCCTGGCCAAGGTATTTCCTCTAGGGAAAAAGCTGGAACGGTGGAGATTTTATCTGTTCAGTTCCTCCCTCAGCCCCGCCCTCACACCATCAGGAAGGCGTTTGTGAACTTTCTTATCATATTCACACGGTTAATCTGGGACAGGGCTCACCAAACTCCCCTTAAGCATTAGAATCGCCTGAATTTATTAAAACGGAAGGCGCTTCACAGGGGCTCTGATTCCACAAATGTAGGATGGCCTCTGTAGTTTACATTTTTAACAGACTCCAGAAAATGCTGACTAGCCCTGACCTTGGCTGGATGAATGCCTTCTTTTAACCCCGGTGCCATGTACACTGCCTCACACGCCTAGCTCCTCAAGGTCGTTTTTTTTTATTTAGTGAATCTGGTGTATGTGGACAATTTCACAGGAAAGAAGCCTTCAGGCTAATACTCAGGAGTGTGTTTTTTCCTCAGTAGAAAATAATACCTGCCTCGTTAGTTTCTAGAACGTTTGCTGCAGGAAGGTGCATTCCATTATCTGTAGATAGGAAAACGACAGTCGGTACCTGCCTGAGGAATTCGGCACAACGGGAGGTCGGGGAACAATCCCAGATCGTTCACATGCGGTATTCGGCCTCAGCGAGGGCGGAAGCATCTTCGTAGCTTTCTAAGTTTTATAGTGTTTATTGCATTGGTCCATCAGTTCCCTGCTAATCAAACCAGGGGGTTTTTTGTTTTTTAAACACTGCTGACAGGATAATGAGAATTCTTCTCCTTGGAGTACCCGATCTTTCAGAACCTGTTTCCACGTCATGGAATCTCAAGTACATCCTTTCTTTCTCTCTCTCTCCTTTTTTTTTTTTTTTTAGACAGAGTCTCACTCTGTCCCCCAGGCTGGCATATAGTGGCCCAAGCTTGGCTCACTGCAACCTTCGCCAAGCGATTCTCCTGTCTCCGACTCCTGCGTAGCTGGGATTACAGGCGCCCGACACCATGCCCGACTAAATTTTTTCTGTATTTTTAGTAGAGACAGGGTTTCACCATGTTGGCCAGGCTGGTCTCGAACTCCTGGCCTCAGGTGATCCGCCTGTCTCGGCCTCCCAAAGTGCTGGGATTACAGGCATGAGCTACCACACCCTGCTTTTTTTTTTTTTTTTTTTTTTGAGATGGGGGCAGGGCTCTCGCTCTGTCGCCCAGGCTGGAGTGCAGTGGCTCCGTCTCCGTCATTGCAGCCTCAGCCTCCCGTGTTCAAGCGATTCTGCCAGCTCAGCCTCCCGAGTAGCTGGGATTAAAGGCGCACCGCCATGCCAGGCTAATTTTTGTAGTCTTAGTAGAGAGGGGGTTTCCCCATGTTGGCCAGGCTGGTCTCAAAATCCTGATCTAAGGTGCTCCACCCTCCTCGGCCTCCCAAAGGGCTTGGATCCTTATCTCAAATGATTACTCACACCCGCTCTCTTTTCCAAATCCGAATTCCCAGCTTTCTTCGAACGGATTACACTTACTCCTGTGCACCGCCCCCCGCCCCGCCACAGCCAGTCCATCTCGTTCCCTTCTCTTATTTTTCTAATCCAGTCTTCCTTTCTCTGCTAGGCCTGGGTACAGCCGACGTCTGTGAAGATGTTGTCAGATCCTCTGTCGATTTTCTCACCATCCCCTGAGCTTTCATAACTCTTGACAAGAGAACTATGTCATCCTGGAACCAGTGGGAAAATACACACCAAGCATATTGTGAAGTTCTGAAGTCTCTTAAAGCCTGTCTTATTATTAAATAAATACTTATTAAGTACTTAAACACTTATTAAAGGCTGTTTTGGTATTAAATATTTATTAATAATGAAATTATTACTTCTAGAAGATTCAATATTTTAAGATAATTGCAAAAACAGTACAAAATGTGAGCTGAATTCTTATCTACTATTATGTGTCTGGAAGCCCTGTGAGGTGCATCTACAGCTGGTAAAACAGATGACGGAGAGATTAAGTCACTGGATTAAGTAACTGATCAAGAGCACCGGGTGTGGAAAACCTCAAATATGGGATTTGAATCTGGTGCCAAATTTCATATATCCTTATATACTGATTTGTCCTTATTAAATGTTAACCAAATGTCTTGCCAATTTATAAAAAAGATGCCTCAAATTTGTAACATAATTTATGACGAGATGCTTTTATAGGGCTAGAGTAATCATATTACAAGGAACACAGATCATTTTATGATAGTCAGATTTTTCTTTTTCTTTTCTTTTTTTTTTTTTTTGAGACAGAGTTTCTCTCTTGTTGTCCAAGCTGGAGTGCAATGGCGCGATCTCGGCTCACAGCAACCTCCACCTCCTGGGTTCAGGTGTGCTGGGATTATAGGCGTGAGCCACCGTGCCTGGCCATAAGACAGTCGGATTTTTCATAGGAAAGCTTTTCATTAAAACTTCTGAAGAAATGTGATTTTTTTCACTGTCAAATAATAAATATTATTATGAATGAGTGAGTCTTGGTTCTCGTGAGTCATTTCATGAACTTTTAACAGTACAAAAACATTCTGTACTGTTTTTAGCTCATGCCTGTAACCCTAGCACTTTGGGAGGCTGAGGCAGGTGGATCACTTGAGGTCAGGAGTTTGAGACCAGCCTGGCCAACATGCTGAAACCCCGTCTCTACTAAAAATACAAAAATCAGCTGGAAATTGCCTGAACCTGGAGGCGGAGTTTGTAGTGAGCCAAGATCGTGCCACTGCACTCCAGCCTGGGCAAACAGCAAGACTCTGTCTCAAAAAAACAAAACCAGTCCTATCCCATTTGCTAGCCACATTCCCTTCGCCACTGGCCCCAGGCTGGCATACTCTCGGCTTCTGGGTGGGATGAGCGTGGCTGGTGCCGAGCAAGGCTGTATTTGTTACTTTGGACCAATTCTGTGACGGGAGACTGCCACCTCCTCCACGCCGGGCAGGAGCACTGGGAGTGGGCATGCCGCTTGTGGCCCCAGTGTTATCACTATCCGGAAGGCGTGGCTTCTCTCCCTGGCTCCTTTTCTCCAAGGCGGCTCCTTCAGAAGCTGGGGCTTCACTTTCACTGGCTTACTTCCCGCAGCTGTGAGAGATCCAGGAGTCATGTTCAAGTGCTTCTCCCCTGCTTAAGAAAGCATTAAAACGTAAGAATCCAACATTACGGTCCACCTCACGACAGCTACCCGTGTGTTCTGTGAGTCAGTGCCTGCTCATCCGAACCCAGCGTGTTCACTTCGCTTCTGCTTTTTCCTAAGGAAGATAATCCTCCTAACAATCCCAGCAGAATTCAGAGGTCACCTTCACCTCACCTATTACAACACTGGGACAAGCCCTCTCTGTTTTCACTAGAAAGAATGCCCTCAGCAAAAGGAACGGGCTGGCTTCAGCTGAAATCCTGAGCAAACAAAGTTCGGATTTTTGTCAAAGTTCGTAGGTTGCGGAAAGCATCGTGTGTCACTGATGAGGTTAGACTGAAGTGGGTTCTGATTCCAGCGTGGACACACACTTGCCACAGCCTCCACCAAACCACCGAACTCAGCACCACTCGCACAACGAGACCCCAGCACCGTCGTTCACAAGTCTCCGGGCGTCATGAGAGGTTGGACGAAACGCACACAGGAGCGAGGAGGGTGGGAACAAGAGCAGAAGTTGCTCTCTGAACGACACTTTCCTTCCTCTTCTCACCCAGAGTCATTCTGTTCAGCAAACTCAAGAGCACTGCCCTCCAAGTATGGGGTGATGGTGGGGGTGGTACAGATGAGTTATTGGCATATGGGAAATAAAGAGCTCTTTTTTTTTAAGACCCACTTGTGCTCTGTCGCCAGGCTAGAGTGCAGTGGCGCGATCTCAGCTCACTGCAACCTCCGACTCCCTGGTTCTAGCAACTCCCCCGCGTAGCCTGGATGACAGCCACTCGCCACCATGCCCAGCTAATTTTTCTGTCTTTAGTAGAGATGGGGTTTCACCACGTTTGCCAGGATGGTCTGAATCTCCTGACCTTGTGAGGCGCCGGCCCCAGCCTCCCAAAGTGCTGGGATTACAGGCGTGAGCCAACGTGCCCAGCCCCTAATAGCACTTGGGTGCCCTTTTTAGCTTCTTTTGTTTAGTAATATGCATATTAATAAAGTAGTAAATGTATAATTGATATCAAGGCATACATTCACCTTTTATTAACATAGTGTTCATTCTAAAACTTGTGGACCACTGGTATAACATTTTTAGGAAGAATTTTTTTCTATTCCATTATAGTCAACTTCAATAATAAAGCCCCATCATCAAAATATGAAAATTGCTGGGCACGATGGTGCCCACTTGTAGTTCTTGCTAGTAGGGAGGCTGAGGCAGGAGGATCTAAAGCCAGAGAGGTCGAGGCTGAAGTGAGCTATGATTGTCCCACCGCACTCCAGCCTGGGTGACAGAACAATATCCTGTCTCTAAAATAAATAATAGAAATTTTAAAAGATACTAAAATCTACACGCTGCTCACTATCGTTAGAAGATATGCATCTTTACATCCTCATGAAACAAGGAATCAAAAAGCCTGCTGCACACTTTAAACTGATCTGATAATTTGGATACCTTTCAGGACCTGGACCTGTTTAAAAAGACTGGCATCAAATGTTGTAAGAAATTGGATTTGAGAGAAAAAAGCAGCTTTACAAATAAACGTGACCAGAGTTTATTACGCCAGCAACGTCAGTTCAAACAGAACATTTGGCCAGGTGGGGTGGCTCACACCTGTAATCTCAGCACTTCGGGAGGCTGAGGTGGGTCGATCACCTGAGGTCAGGGGTTCAAGACCAGCCTGGCCAACATGGCAAAGCCCTGTTTCTACTAAAAATACAAAGAATTAGCCGGGCGTGGTGGCAGGCACCTGTAATCTCAGCTACTCAGGAGGCTGAGGCAGGAGAATCGCTTGAGCCCAGAAGGCAGAGGTTGCAGTGAGCCAAGATCAAGCCACTGTACTCCAGCCTATGAAATAGAGCAAGACTCTAACTCCAAAAAAAAAGGGGGGGGCTCTGGGCACGGTGGCTCATGACTATAATCCCAGCACTTTGGGAGGCCAAGGTGGGCAGATCATGAGGTCAGGAGTTGGAGACCAGCCTGGCCAACATGGTGAAATCCTGTCTTTACAAAAAATTCTATCTGGGCATGGTGGCACCTGCCTGTGGCTTCATTTCACCCTGAGTGACAGAGCAAGACACTGTCTCCAGATACACACACACACACACACACACACACACATACCTTTTCTTTTTGAGAGGTTTTTGCTCTTGTTGCCCAGGCTGAAGTGCAAGGGCATGATCTCAGCTCACTGCAACCTCCGCCTCCTGGGTTCAAGCGATTCTCCGGCCTCAGCCTCCTGAGTAGCTGGAATTACAGGTGCCCATCACCATGCCTGGCTAATTTTTGTATTTTTAGTAGTGACTGGATTTCACCATGTTGGCCAGGCTGGTCTTGAACTCCTGACCTTGTGATACCCAGCACTCTGGGAGGCCGAGGCGGGTGGATCACGAAGTCAAGAGGTCGAGACCATCCTGGCCAACACGGTGAAACCCCATCTCTACTAAAAACAAAAATTAGCTGGGTGTGTGGTGGTACGTGCCTGTAATCCCAGCTACTCGGGAGGCTGAGGCAGGAGAATCGCTTGAACCCGGGAGGTGAGGTTGCAATGAGCCGAGACTGCTCCACTGCACTCCAGCCTGGTGACAGAGTGAGATTCCATCTCAAAAAAAAAAAAAAAAAAAAAAAAGAAAGACAATGAGGAAGTCTACCTTCCAAGAGTGAATGTAGCCGGAGATTTCGGACACCTGTCACACCTCCTAATTACAGAGATCTGACTTCCTTCAGGCAGCATTTGGGCAATGTTCATTTTATTGAGAGAACTAGGGATTTTCACCCACTCACAAGTCCACAAGTGAGATGCACTGTAGCGTGTTGCCGAACGAGAGACGCTGGGAGGCAGGAGCTCGTAGGAAGCAGGTATCAGGGCAGCAATTCAATGTCTTCATGCTGCAGTTTTCTTCAGCATCTGTAGAAGGCAGTTGGACTACGTGATCTCTTGACTTCCAGCTAAATATAAGACTGTGCTTACATAATTATATAGTTGCTCTATTCATTTAGAACTCATTTACAGAAAAATCAAACCATGTGCAATGAATTCTTTTATTTTTTTCTTTTTGAGATGGAGTTTCGAGCTTGTTACCCAAGTTGGAGTGCAATGGTGCGATCTCGGCTCACCGCAACCTCCGCCTCCTGGGTTCAGGCAATTCTCCTGCCTCAGCCTCCTGAGTAGCTGGGATTACAGGCACGCGCCACCGTGCCCAGCTAATTTTTTTTTTTGTATTTTTAGTAGAGACGGGGTTTCACCATGTTGACCAGGATGGTCTCGATCTCTTGACCTCATGATCCACCCGCCTCGGCCTCCCAAAGTGCTGGGATTACAGGCGTGAGCCACCGCGCCCGGCCGTGCAATGAATTCTTTTAGTCACCCATGAATAACACATGGTTATTGTGTTATGAAGCTTATAAAAGAAAAAAGTTACACCCAAGAGGGAAGTGGGATGGAACAGATCAGTGTGACTTGAACATAGAATGTGGCAGCCTCTCAATTCCAGATTGGAGCACTGGCTCTGTGATGTGTCATAACTGTCTTGTGAGACTTATTCTAATGATTTTGGTAAATGTTAACGACTCCTTTTGGGGTTGTGTTGAAATAACACACTGAATGGAGGTGGTAGTTCATAAGCTCTTTTTCTAGTGGTGGCAGTTAGTGTATTATAGACTTTTTTTTCTTTGTGATGGAGTTTTGCTCTGTCACCTAGGCTGGAGTGCAGCAACGGATATAGCTCACTGCAACCTCCACCTCCCGGGTTCAAGCGATTCTCCTGCCTCAGCCTCCAGAGTAGCTGGGATTACATGCATGTGCCACCACGTCCAGCTAATTTTTGTATTTTTAGTAGAGATGGGGTTCACCACATTGGCCAGGCTGGTCTCGAACTGACCTCGTGAGCAGCCCACCTGGCCTCCCAAAGTGCTGGGATTACAGAACATGAGCAACTGTGCCTGGCCCACTTTTTTTTTTTTTCTTTTTGCAAGACTTAAGACTAACTCAGGCTGGGCGCGGTGGATTACCCTGTAATCCCAGCACTTTGGGAGGCCAAGGCAGGCAGATCATGAGGTTAGGAGATTGAGACCGTCGTAACACAGTGAAACTCTGTCTCTACTAAAAATACAAAAAATTAGCTGGGTGTGGTGGTGCAAGTCTCTAGACTCAGCTATTCGGGAGGCTGAGGCAGGAGATCGGCTTGAACCCGGGAGGCGGAGGTTACAGTGAGCCGAGATTGCACCACTGCACTCCAGCCTGGGCAACAGAGTCAGACTAACTCACAGCAATATTTGGAAGCCGTGACAAGTCAGTATCCCGGGGGCAATCTCAGTAGCGGCTTTGTGACGCCACCGTGATCACCTCTCTTCCTCTTCACGGTAGTATAACTCTTTGCTCTGTTTTCTTCATAGCTTAAATTCTCATCCTAGTAATTCACATATAATTTACAAAGGAGGTACATGATTAAAACATTTTGAATTAATGATTTCAGAAAAGTGGGTTTTGACTGGGAGAAAGGAAGGTGGAGGAAAGGACATTCTGAGCCAGGAAACTTCTTTTTCCCAAAGTTCAGGATAAGAGACCATCTGACATCCTGTGGAGATAAGTGGGAAAGAAGTAAGAGTTGGAGCCTTGAAAGTCAGAAACCAATCAGTGGAATAACCTGCGAATGCGCCCAACCCGTGGGAGGCTGCTTAGCTGGGGACTGAGGGGATGGAGGCAGAAACAGGGCATGAGGACCGAGTGGGGAGGCCAATCTCGCTGGACTTTGAGGACGAGCCTTTGAGACGCCACTTCTTGGCATGCAGTGAGTGGCAGTGGGGCAGGACAGGAAGAGCAGAGGACACAGTGAATCTGTGGCATTTGGCCCTGACCTCAGTGTTCACTGTGCACAGTCTCCATACTGGGCATTTACTTTTTCTTTTTTGAGAGTCTCGCTCTGTTGCCCAGGCTGGAGTTCAGCGGCACGATCTTGGCTCACTGCAACCTCCAGCTCCCTGGTTCAACCAATTCCCCTACCTCAGCCTCCCACGTAGCTGGGATTACAGGCGCATACCATAACGCCCAGCTAAGTTTTGTTTTTCTTTTTTTGTATTTTTAGTAGAGACAGGGTTTCACACCATGTTGGCCAGACGGGCCTCGAACTCCTGACCTCAGGCAATCTGCCTGCCTTGGCCTCCCAAAGTGCAAGGATTTACAGGCGTGAGCCGCCATGGCCAGTCAGCATTTACTTTTTCATATGTTAAAAAAATGTCTGCACACTTAATTTCTGTCCAGTAAGAACTGGTAGAGAATCAGGGATTTGAAAGGGCCTTGTCTGGAAATTTTCAATGGGAGAAAATAAGTGAGCAAAATTACATTTATACTAAAATATAATTCTTTCTCTCTGCTCCATAGTGCGATAGGCTCTTGAGGCAATTTCCAGTTAGAATGTCATTTTAGATGCTTTCCATGATGGCAGATGGGTGAGTATAGTATAGGCTCTGCAGGGAACAGCCATAAACATTGTGCACCTAAAACCAAGGAACCCTCGGTGGAAGAGTTCTCATTTCGTTGGGATGAATAAAATTCAATAAAAGTCCACAGTACCCAGTGAAGAAGCAGAAAGCTCAGGCTTTCGTCAAGCAGAGGAGAGGACCAGTGAGAAAGGACTGTACTTGATGGGTTTTATTACTGGAGTTTCCCAGATTTGGACCAAATTTCTAACTCAGATATTATTAGAGATCATCAAAATTCTAGTCTCTTTACTGGTTTACACCAAATTACCAACCTTCCCGCCTAAAACCCATGTGTTTAGATGGTTCCACAGTTCTGTTTATGTACAATAACTGATTCTCAAAATGGTAACCCGGGTAGAAACCAGAATCCTCAGCCTCCAGCATGTGTGGCTTGCAGAGAGAAGACTCAAGGTTTGGGCTGATGAAGAGCCCAGAGTTCCACATTATGTCATAATTGGCTTTGTGGGGCACACTGTGTGTCAGTGGGTGAAATCAGGCACAGGAGAGGAAAGGATTTTGTGTCATAACAACATAGCAACAGATCGCCCACGAGTTACTAAAAACTAGGACTGCAGGGAGGGTGTGCTGATCTCAGAATAGAGGTGGAAACTTGCCCCATGTCCAGCCTCAAGACAATGTCCACAGCAGATCTGATGGACAGTCTTAGGGAAGAACTCACCTGCTTCATCTGCCTGGACTATTTCAGCAGACCAGTGACCACCGAGTGTGGGCACAGCTTCTGTCTGATGTGTCTCCTCAGGAGCTGGGAAGAACCTAGCACTCCTTTATCTTGTCCTGAGTGCTGGAGGACCTTGGAGGGCCCGCATTTCCAGCCCAATGAGCGTCTGGAGAGGCTGGCCAGCATTGGCAGGCAGCTCCGGTCCCAGGTGCTGCAGAGAGAGGATGAGCCGGGCAGCTACGGGAGGACGCGCGCTGCTGCCAAGGCGCTGTCTGATGATGAGCAGGGTGGCAGCGCCTTCGCAGCCCAGAGCCATGCTGTCACCAGAGTGCATCTGTCCAGTGAGGCTGAGGAGCACCACAGAGTAAGACAGCTGCTCAGCAGGAACCCCGGACTCAGCCCGGGCTCCCCCACCAGCCTTCCTAGCGTCCTCCGTGGGGGACAGTCAGGGGTGCTATCCGAGTACATCACAGACTTGGGTGGGTCCCGCTTCCACCTGGTACCTGCTTATTTGCCACAAAGAGTTTGTTTCTATTGCAGGAGAAACTTGAGGAAATCCTAAATCTTTTGCGTAAAAGGAGAAAGGAAGCTCAGGCTGTGTTAGCCCACGAGAAGGAGAGAGTGGGGCTGTGCAAGGTCGGTGTCTGACTTTGGGGCTGGTATAAGATGCCATGAGGGGGACTAAAGGGAAATTTAGCAAAATATTAGAAAAAAACACACATTTTTCCAGTCTCATCCCTAAAATACGCAGTCTCCTTCCACTGGGCTGCCTACTTCTGACTGTCCTCGTGGGAATCTCAAGGCTCAGCTCAAACTTCCCCACCTGGAGGAAGAGTCCTTTGTGCAGCTAGACAACGCTGTGGCTTCCTCTATGATGGCTCTGATATAATTATTTAAAACATAGGTGATACTTATCGACATATAACATAAGACAGAAAGCAAGTTAAAAAAAGAAATATCCTTGCTGGGCGCGGCGGCTCACGCCTGTAATCCCAGCACTTCAGGAGGCCGAGGCAGGCAGATCATAAAGTTAGGAGTTCGAGACCAGCCTGGCCAATATGGTGAAACCCCCATCTCTAATTAAAATACAAAACTTAGCTGGGCGTGGTGGTGCTCACCTGCAGTGTGCCACGACATGGGAGGCTGAGGCAGGAGAATCGCTTTAACCCGGGATGCTGAGGTTGCAGTGAGCACTCCAGCCTTGGAGACAGAGTGACTCTGTCTCAAAATAAATAAATAAATGAAAAAGAAATATTTCAAAAGCACTGAGGGAAAGATGCAAATTAAAAAGTAATAAAGAGAAAGATACAAAAGCAAAATAGTGGTTTAAATTCTGCCTGACAAGCGCTCAAGGGTAGTCCTGGATTTGGATTTGAGATCCACAGTAGTCAGAGCAAAGGACTAAATATTTAATTAGATAATTTTTTAAACTGTGTTTCTGATTCTCCCAGTAGACTCTGAATTCTTTTTTCTGAGACAGTCTCACTCTGTCACCAGGCTGGAGTTCAGTGGTGCGATCTTGGCTCACTGCAACCTCCACCACCCGGATTCAAGCGATTCTCCCGTCTCAGCCTCCAGAGTAGCTGGGACTACAGGCGCGCACCACCACACCCGGCGAATTTTCTGCATTTTAGTTCAGATGAGGGTTTCACCACGTTGACCAGGATGGTCTTGATCTTCAGATCTCGTGATCCACTCGCCTTGGGCTCCCAAAGTGCTGGGATTACAGGCGTGACCGACCTTTAATTCTTAAGTGAGAGTATTTGCCCTGTATATTTCTATTCCTTGTTGGTTATCCGACACCTACTTTTATTGAATAAATGAACACACATTTTTCATAATTTTTCTTAATTTTTCTTTATTTGTATCTTAGTCCCGATCACCACCTGTCATTTATTATTCATTTTTGGTTTTCTCCACTAGAATGACAATCTCCTGGGAACCGAGAGTTTGGTTTTGTTTACTACTGTATCCATAGTGCACGTACCTCCAAAAACGTCAGCCTCTCCCCTGGCTCATCAATAGAATACATGTGTTATGTGTTATGTGTTGGATTTCAGGAATTGTTTCCATGAAACTCTGGGACTTGGCCAGGTGTGGTGGCTCATGTCTGTAATCCCAGCACTTTGGGAGGCCGAGGCGGGTGGATCATGAGGTCAAGAGATAGAGACCATCCTGGCCAACAGGGTGAAACCTTCTGAAAATAGCTGGGCATGGGGGTGCATGCCTGTAGTCCCAGCTACTTGGGAGGCTGAGGCAGGAGAATCACTTGAAACTGCGAGGCGGAGGTAGCAGTGAGCCGAGATCGCACCACTGAACTCCAGCCTGGTGACAGAGCAAGACTCTGTCCGCCCCCCCCCCAAAAAAAAGAAAGAAAAGAAAAGTAAAAGGAAAGAAAAGAAAGAAATTCTAGGACTTGTAAGGATTAAAAATCTGTAGACAAGGACATTACTCTTACTAATTTTGTCTGTGTGTGTGTGTTTGTGTGTGTTTGTGTGTGTGTGTGTCTGTGTTTGTGTTTGTGTGTTTGTGTTTGTGTCTGTGTGTGTCTCTGTGTGTCTGTGTGTGTGTCTGTATGTGTGTCTGTGTGTGTGTTTGTGTGTGTGTCTGTGTGTCTGTGTTTGTGTGTGTGTCTGTGTGTTTGTGTGTGTGTCTGTGTGTGTGTTTGTTGTGTGTGTGTATGTGTGTGCTTTGGCAGGAAGAAACAAAGACTTGTAAACAGGTTGTTGTGTCAGAGTACATGAAAATGCACCAGTTCCTGAAGGAAGAGGAGCAGCTGCAACTCCAGCTCCTGGAACAGGAAGAGGGAGAGAACCTGCGGAAACTGAGGAGCAGTGAGACCAGACTGACCCAGCAAATCAGAGACCTGAGCAAAGTGATCGGACAGATTGAGTCCAAAAGGCAAAGCTCGGCTTTGGAAACTCTAGAGGTGAGAATAGAATTCATGAGCATATGGGAAAAATCATGGTATCTCATAGTACTTCAAGCCATGGGAAATAATGTTTCCTTTATTCGTCTTGAAAACTGAGTTCCAGTCCCAGAGTAGTTTTTCTAAAGAATTGATATTCTATACATCAGTAAAGCCTTATAGAACTTAGAGAGAGAGAGAGATGAGAAACCAAGCCTGAGGATGGGTTCAATTTCTTCCACACCTGCCTCTCTGCAACCTCAGCCGTGGTCATTTTTTAAAGTTTATGTATATTTACCATGTGCTGGGCATATTCAATTTAATCTTCACAAAGACCGTTATGACATGAACTCTAGATGAGTGTCATCTACAGGATGGGTTAACAGCAGCACTGATTTAATAATTCACACCTGTGGTGCTAAAGCCATCTGCCTGTTCGATTGTTAATAGATGGGAGAGGCTGGGCGCGGTGGCTCACACCTGTAATCCCAGCACCTTGGGAGGCCAAGATGGGCGGATCACAGGATCACAAGGTCAAGAGATCGAGACTATCCTGACCAACATGGTGAAACCCCATCTCTGCTAATACATATATAAATTAGCAGCCGGGAGAGGTGGCTCACACTTGTCATCCCAGCATTCCGGGAGGCCGAGGCAGGTGGATCATGAGGTCAGTAGATCGAGAGCATCCTGGCCAACATGGTGAAACTCCTACTAAAAGCACAAAACAGGTAGCCGGGTGTGGTGATGCACACCTGTAGTCCCAGCTCCTCTGGAGGCTTAGGCAGGAGAATCGCTTGAACCAGGGAGGCGGAGGTTGCAGTGAGCCGAGATTGCGCCACCATTCCAGCCTGGGTGACAGAGCCAGACTCCTCTCAAACAAACAAACAACACAAATAGACGGAAGAGCCCCCTGTTCTGTGCAGGGAGCTCCAATTCCTTCCCTGCCTTGGTCTACCTCCCCTCTAGCTACTGTATTCCTCAGCACCTTTTTCTTTTTTTTTTTTGAGATGGAGTTTCGCTGTTGTTACCCAGGCTGGAGTGCAATGGCGCGATCTCGGCTCACCGCAACCTTTACCTCCTGGGTTCAGGCAATTCTCCTGCCTCCTGAGTGAGTAGCTGGGATTACAGGCACGCGCCACCATGCCCAGCTAATTTTTTTTGTATTTTTAGTAAAGACGTGGTTTCACCATGTTGACCAGGATGGTCTCAATCTCTTGACCTCGTGATCCACCCGCCTTGGCCTCCCAAAGTGCTGGGATTATAGGCTTGAGCCACCGCACCCGGCCCCTCAGCACCTTCTTAAACATAAGCCAGGTGACCTGACTCCAGCTTCAGGTCTGTTTTGTAGACCAGTTCCACAGAATGCTGCTGCTTCATGTAGTGCCCTCCAAACACCCCACCACAGCCTGGCACCGGCTTGGTGATCCTCAGCTGTCACCGGGCCATCTCGCCTCTCACTGGATGGTGAATGAGAGTCACAGGTTGGCTTGTTTGCAGAGCAGGTTCCCTGGACAAAGTGATGATATGAGAGAAAGAAACGGACGAGGTGTTCTCTAGTCATTGTGAGAAACATCCTGCGTTCACCACAGCACATGCCTGGAAGAAACTGGGGGTGCTTTCCTCTGCTCTCCATGCTCCCACTCATGGTGTGCTGCATGGGAAGCAGATTCTGTGAATTTTGCAAAGGACTGGATGCAAAATGAATTTCGTCTGTGCCACCATCAAAGCGCACCACGCTAACCTTCTTCCTTTGTCACCCTTAGGAAGTGAGAGGAGCCCTGGAAAGGTAGGCTTTCCTTCTGTTCAGCGATGCCAGCTGCGGGTGAGTGGCGCTGATGGCCAGTTTGAGTGGGGATGGGGGTCTGTGCTATCGCTGGGGGAGAAACGAGACGGACTGTCTGGGTGGTGAGGCCACGCGGCCTGAGCTGTGGAGTGAATCTCGCTGCCGTCTTGCAGGAGCCAGCCACTCCTGCTTCAGTGTCCAGAGGCCACCACCACAGAGCTGAGTCTGTGCCGCGTCACGGGAATGAAGGAAATGCTGACAAAATTCAGCAGTAAGTCAGCCTCATTTGCTACACCTCCGGGGCTTGTAGAATTCACTTTAGCTTCCGTCCTTCCAGTATCAAACATTCACTGTCCGGCCGGGCGTGGCGGCTCACGGCTGTACTCCCAGCACTGTGGGAGGCGGAGGCGGACAGATCATGAGGTCCGGCCTTGAGACCATCCTGGATGCGGTGAAACCCAGTCTCTACTGAAAATGCAAAAATTAGCTGGGCGTGGTGGTGCGCGCCTGTAGTCCCAGCTACTCGGGAGGCCGAGGCAGGAGAATCACTTGAACCCTGCAGGCAGAGGTTGCGGTGAACCGAGATCGTGCAGCTGCACTGTAGCCTGGGGACAGAGTGAGACTCTGTGTCAAAAGCAAGAACATAAATAAATATTCACTCTCTGACACTAGGCTCTTGGTTGAAGTATCGGGGCCAGCACAGAACACCAGTAAGGGCTGGGGCCACAGGCTTCTCTGAACGTGAGCAAAGGGAAGCAGTGAGAGTTGACTCAGGCTTCCTCTGGCTTTGTTTTCTGTCTCAGGGGTCCTGGTTCTTTCTTTGCCGGTTTTGTCATTCTGTTTCTTCCATCCCCCTTTCATGGGCAGACACACCCCCTCGTGCTGGGGTGTCTACATTTCTAGCTCTGTTCCGTTAGGATACAAGATGACTAAGTCGGGTGCAGTGACTCACGCCTGTAATCCCAGCACTTTGGGAGGCCGAGGCGGGCAGATCACGCGGTCAGGAGTTTGAGACCATCTTGGCCAACATGGTGAAACTCCATCTCCACTAAAAATACAAAAATTAGCCGAACGTGGTGGTGGGCACCTGTAATCCCAGCTACTTGGGAAGCTGAAGCAGGAGAATCACTTGAACCTGGGAGAGGAGGTTGCAGTGAGCCAAGATCGCGCCATTGCACTGCAGCCTGGACAACAAGAGCAAGCCTCCATCTCAGAAAGAAAGAAGAAAACTAACCTAACTGGATGTGGCAGCAGGCACCTGTAATCCCAGCTCCTGGAGGCTGAGGCAGGAGAATCACTTGAACCTGGGAGAGGAGGTTGCAGTGAGCCAAGATCGCGCCATTGCACTCCAGCCTGGGCAACAAGAGCAAAACCCCGTCTATAAAAAAGGAGGCCTTGTATGTGACTGTCTGTTCACAGCGTGTGTGCTTCATCCTACGGCCCCGGTGCTGTCCTGAACTCCCAGGAAGCTGCGTTTGTCATCACGAACAAAGCTGATTAGGGACTGTAATTCGAACACTTGAGTGACTGTGTAATCGTGGTGAAGTCCCCTGACCTTCGTAAACCTGTTTTCTTTTTTGTAAAAACGATAGAAAAGCATGTTGCAATGATTTAACGAGATAACGTATAGAAAGTGTTTGGCTCATTAGAAGTTCGGTCAAAGAGAACTGCTCTTTTCTCTCCCACCCAAACTGAAGAACCGGAACCCATCTTGGCTAAGATGAAAGCAAACAACAAAGGGTGTCCCTGTGTGGGCCACAGCTCGGAGTTCTAGGGGCGTCCCTGCGTGGGCGCACAGCTCGGAGTTCTAGGGGCCTCTTGTAAACAGAGCGACTTGCATTGCTCCCACAGGGATTCTCCTCCCATCTCAGGCAGGCTAAAGCTCCTCCACATGGCTCTTCTCTCTCTCCATTTAGAGCTTCACGCTGTGTGTTGTGGAACAGTGAAAGAAGAGCTCAGAAAATCTGTTCTAAACCAAATGTGTGTATGTATGTGTGTGTATATTTTTTGAGACTGAGTCTCTGTCACCCAGGCTGGAGTGCAGTGGTGCAATCTTGGCTCACTGCAACCTCCACTTCCTGGGTTCAAGCAATTCTCATGCCTTAGCCTCCTGAGTAGCTGGGAGTATAGGCACTCGCCACCACACCCGGCCTAGGTTTTGTATTTTTAGTAAAGATGGGGTTTTACCTTGTTGGCCAGGCTGGTCTCAAACTCTTGATCTTGTGATCTGCCTGCCTTGCCCTCCCAAAGTGCTGCATTACAGGCGTGAGCCACGGTGCCCGGCCCCAAATTACATTTTAAAAACCGGGACTAAGTACTAAGAATTCAATGTAAATTTCACCTAGGTAAGAGGTTTTTCAGTCGTGCCCAAGGAAAATTTCTTCTTTCCTCCTCTTGTAGCAGACATAACGCTGGACCCAGCCACAGCCCATCCCTGCCTGGTGTTGTCCGAGGATCTGAAGAGTGTGAAATACGGGGGAAGCAGAGAGCAGCTGCCTGACAACCCGGAAAGATTTGACCAGTCTGCGACTGTGCTGGGTGCTCAGATCTTCACCAGCGGGAGGCACTACTGGGAGGTGGAGGTGGGAAGCAAGACGGAGTGGGAAGTGGGCGTCTGCAAGGACTCTGTGAGCAGAAACGGGAATCTCCTCAAGACACCTGGGGACCTCTTCTCGCTGATCGGTTTAAAAATTGGAGACGATTACAGTCTGTGGGTCTCCTCACCTTTGAAAGGTCAGCACGTCAGAGAGCCGGTGTGTAAGGTTGGCGTCTTCTTGGACTATGAATCTGGACACATAGCGTTCTACAACGGCACGGACGAATCCCTCATCTACAGCTTCCCACCAAATTCTTTCCAAGAGGCTCTCAGGCCCATCTTTTCCCCCTATCTCCCGAATGAAGGGACAAACACAGACCCTCTCACCATCTGCTCACAGAACAGCCGCGCCTGAGGGAGCGCCCTTGAGCCTTCACAGAGGGCCAGGTCTGAGACCAAGACCTAATGACTGTTAAGATGACAAAGGCATCCTCTGTGTGAACGTCAGGTGATCTCAAAGAAACCCCCACCCACCCCCAAGAGTTTCCATTAACTTGATCCCACAATGAGCAGCCAAATCGCACAATCAGCTTCAACAGCAATAGAAGACAGCTGAGCATACTGTGTCTTTAACGAAATGTATCATCTAGACTATCCCATGTGTGTGCTGGTCACTCAAATACTGAGCCCCTATTACCAGGAATCCCACTGCCATAGGCTGCATTTTATAAACATAGGTCACTTCTGGAGCGTATTTGATGCTTTGACTCTGGAAACCTGTGCTGTTCCAATGTGTCCTTGTCCTTGATGCGGAGCTCGGTGTGCTGGGGCGAGTCCAATCCATCTGGGGAGCCGAGACATGGGCACATCTTTCCAGGGCGACAGCAAGAGGCTCAGGCCCCATCCTTCTCCCAAAAGCCGTTTTCCTTCCCATGCATGAGCCTGCAGTATTTGTACTCAGGAAGGTTACGTGTTCAGAACACTGCAAATATTTGTGTGAATGTCGTTATACCATTCATGTTTCCATAGTCGCAAGAGGCTGAGACCTCTGTGAATGTGTTCAAAGGTGACAATGGCTGGGGAGGTGGCACTTCCTAGTACCATCCGCTGAGCACCTTCTCTTGCACTTATGACAGGCACAATGTCGATGTGTTTCCTTCCTTTTAAAGAGTATCTACTTTTAGACACGCTGGTCTGGGAGAAGATAGGACAGCCACAGGAGTGGGAGAGGCCCTGTGTCTCCCCGGCAACGTTTCTAAAAGTGCCGCTGCTCTCATCCGTAAGCGACTCGCCCAGCTTAACCCCAGGGTCTCTTCCTATTAGGCTGGAACCCCAGTAGGCCTCTGCCTCCAGTGGCTGCCCGGTACTCTCCTCCTCCTCCTCTTTGGAAGAGAAACTCAGAAGTGCATGCATTTTCATTCAGACCTTCTGACCATCCCTTTGTGCTCTCACATGTGGGCACTCATTCGAGTGTCTGCAATTAGCATCATGCACAGTGTAGAAACTACCACTCTTTCCTGATGCCCAAGAAAAACCGGATGAGATGCAGGAGTGTCCCCAAACAGGAACTTGTGCCTGATCAGTGTCAGCAATGTGAATTGGGTCCTCCTGCTCCAGATGAGCTCAGCTTCACTGCACAGCACTGTAAGTGAGGGCTGGAAAATCTGTGTAAGAAACAGTATCACTTGAGGAAGTCTTAAGGTTCATAGCAAAATTGAGAGAAACACGCAGATTCCCCACAAACTGCCGGCACTCTCCCCCATCATCACCTTCACCCACTAGAGTGGTACATTTGTTACAACTGATGAGCCTGGACGGGTACTTCTTTATTATACAAAGTCCAGGATTCACATTGGGGGTCACCCGTGTACGCAATGTGTTTCAAAAGTGCTTGGCCGGGTGCAGTGGCTCACGCCTGTAATCCCAGCACTTTGGGAGGCCGAGGCAGGTGGATCACGAGGTCAAGAGATCGAGACCATCCTGGTCAACATGGTGAAACCCCGTCTCTACTAAAAATACAAAAAATTAGCTGGGCATGGTGCACGTGCCTGTAATCCCAGCTACTCAGGAGGCTGAGGCGGGAGAATTGCCTGAACCCAGGAGGCGGAGGTTGTGGTGAGCCCAGATTGCGCCATTGCACTCCAGCCTGGGTGACAAGAGCGAAACTCCGTCTCAAAAACAAAACAAAACAAAACAAAACAAAACAAAAAAAGTGCTGCATATTCCTTGGGTTTTGACAAGTGTATAATTACATGTATCCACCACTATAGTATCATACTGAGTAGTTTTTCTGCCCTAAAATTCATGTGTGCTCTGTCTATTCATCCTTCTCTCCCTAGTAACCCCTGGCAACCATTGATCTTTCTGATGTCTGCATTGCTGTGCCTTTTCGAGAACACCACATAGTTGGAATCATACTGTATGTGAATATTTCTTCCGACTAGGACAGACCGCTTCCTTGCCCACATTTTCTGCTGTGAGACATCTTCACAGTCTTCTCCATTTTGCTCTTCATGTGGGAGAGTGATTCCACTTTCTTACCATCTGTCCGAGAATACCCAGAGATACCTGACCACTGAAAGCAGCTTATGGTTAATAGCCTAATAGGCTACGGACGCCATGGCACATCTCCCCGAGGAGGAGCTAATCAGATCGCTCATACACAAATGCATTCAGTTCTGCTAGCCACTCATTTTGAAAATGCAAATTTGTTCCAATGCAGTTGATGTATCGGAGAACAGTTCAAGCGTAATGAGAATTTCATGTTTGTGTATGCATGATTTCATCCACGAAAAACACGAGGTGAGCAGAGACAACTGCACTTAGCCGAATCCAGCTGCCCAGGAGGGCATAAAACACTCACAGTCTCACACTCACGCACACGCAGACACCCCTCGGCATCTGCCAGCCCCTCAGTTCACTGAGGGGGTTATGAGCCGCACCCATGCACGTTTCGTGTGACAGCTTTCTGTCTGATTTCCTTTCTTTTCTGTCCCGCCTGCAAACCCTCCTTCTACCACCTCAGAATAATTCATAAGCTATGATCCTGAAGCCCGCTTTCACCAGCAAACTTCAGATCTTTTTTCAAGGTAAAGTGCCATATTTATCTCAGTATTTATGCATTTCTTAACTGTTTAACAAGTATAAAACTGTACTATCGTGTTTATTGGTTCCTTTTTTTTTGACACCAGGCTGGAGCGCAGTGGTGCAATCTCGGCTCACTGCAACTTCCACCTCCTGGGTTCAAGCGATTCTTCCATCTCAGCCTCCTGAGTAGCTGGGATTACAGGCACGCGCCACCACGCCTGGCTAATTTTTTTGTATTTTTAGTAGAGACGGTGTTTCACCATGTTGGCCAGGATGGTCTCTATCTCTTGACCTTGTGATCTGCCACCTTGGCCTCCCAAAGTGCTGGGATTACCGGCGTGAGCCACCGCGCCCGGCCGATTCCTTCTCTGGAAACTGACATTGGTTCTAAGTGTTGTGCCCAGGAACACACAAACCCAGTGGTTTTTATTGCACGGTTTTGCATGTTGCAGTGCTTCTTAGGGACACGTGTGGCACTCTAGCAGCAATGGCTGTGTATGACAGGGTGTTAAAATGGAATCCCATTTCTCTAGGACTCCACCGAGAGTCCAGATCATTTATGTTTCAAATTCTTCATTTTTTTATTGTGATAAACTTGCAGAGGAGTTAGAAAAAGCATCACGTTTTCATTTACTCTTGCTTCAGCAAGTACTAACGTTGAAGGAGATGGAAGTTTATTTGGAAATGGGAGGCATTAAAGCAAATTATGCAGGAGGTCTTTAGCCTGGGGCTGGTTCCCTGCCTGGAACACTTACACAGGCAAACCCAAGTTCAACGTGGAAGCATTTCTTGAAGCTGATTAGTTTTTTTGTCGGGGGGAACAACAACCAATAATCAGCCAATCACAAACAGCCAGCTAGCAACCAGTCGCAGACAAACAGCTAGGAATCAATTTTAAAAAGCCAACCAGCAACTGATCACAGTCAGCTAGCAACCAGACACAAACAGCCAACTAGCAATTAATCATAAAAAGCCAACCAGCGGCCGGGCACAGTGGCTCACACCTGTAATCCCAGCACTTTGGGAGGCCAAGGCGGGCGGATCACGAGGTCAAGAGATCAAGACCATCCTGGCCAACATGGGGAAACCCTGTGTCTACTAAAAAATAAAATAAAATTAGCTGGGCATGGTGGTGCATGCCTGTAGTCCCAGCTACTCAGGAGGCTGAGGCAGGAGAATTGCTTGAACCCAGAAGGCAGACATTGCAGTGAGCTGAGCTCACGCTACTGCACTCCAGCCTGGTGCCTGGCAACAGAGCGAGACTCTGTCTTGAAAAAAAAACCAAAAACAAAGAACCAGCAACCAATTACGAATAGCAAACTAGTAAGCAGTCACTAATAATCAACTAGGAGTCAATCACAAACAGCCAACCAGCCAACTGGCTGCTAGTTATATAAGTAGGGGCTTTTCATAGGATCACACTCAAATAAGGCAGAGGCCTGGCTGGAGTCAGTCCAGTAATTCATTTCCTTTCACAGTCAGCCTATAAAAACTTGCTGCTGGCCAGACGCAGTGGCTCCACAGGACTCTCGGAGGCTGAGGCAGGTGGATCATGAGGTCAGGAGTTTGAGACCAGCCTGGCCAACACAGTGAAACCCCATCTCTACTAAAAATACAAAAATTAGCTGGGAGTGGTGGTGGGACACTGTAATCCCAGCTATTCAGGAGGCTGAGGCAGGAGAATCACTTGAACCTGGGAGGCGGAGGTTGCAGTGAGCCAAGATTGTGCCACTGCACTCTAGTCTGGGCCAAAGAGCTAGACCTGTCTCAAAAAAGAAAAAAAAAAGCTCACTCTGCTGGAGCAGACCTCGCTGAACCTCTTCTGTGTGTCTGAGTGCTGCATGATTCATGAATGCCTTAATGCTCAAATAAGTTTATTTTGTCTAAACTTTTTCTTTTCATGGAAGCTTTCCTTGGAAAGACTAAGTTGAGCATCTTGGTGTCTAAGTCTCCCCTCTCTGGGAGAAGGGTGGGCTCACTATCCCCTCACATCGTGTCTGGTAAGAGGAGTTTCAGGCCCCTGCGACAGCTGACTGTGCATCCATGGAGCTCGTGGTTACACAATGGGGCAGCATCTGTCCCACACCTGAGAAAAGCTGGCGACCCGGCCGCAGTGCTCTGAAATGCACGCGCGATGCTAAACGTTGTGTATCTGCCACAACGGCTTGAAATAACCATTTAGAATGGTGTCACAGGTCCTGAGAAGAGAGAGTTATGGATGAGATTAAGGACATAAGCAGAGAGGAAAGAAGAGGCTACTCTCCTGGCTGTGAAGATGGGATAAGGGACCACAAGCCACGGAATGCAGGCAGCCTCTGGAGGCTGGAAAAGGCATGGAAACAGCTCCGCCGCTTATTTTCCAAAAGGAATGCAGGCCTGCCTACACCCACTCTTAATCTAGTCGAAATAACGCCGGACTTCTGAGACCCCCAGAATTGCGAGACAATACATTTGTGGGTTTGTTGCTGTTGTTGCTTGGTTGGGTGGTTTTGTGACGGAGTCTTGCTCTGTCACCCAGGCTGGCGTGCAGTGGTATGATCTCGGCTCACCACAACCTCCAACTCTTCGGTCCAAGCAATTTCTCCTGCCTCAGCCTCCTGAGTAGCTGGGATTACAGGCATGTGCCACCACATCCATCTAATTTTTGTATTTTTAGTAGAGATGGTGTTTCACCATGTTGGTCA